CTCAAACTGCTGCCTAAAACTTCTCCAGAAGGCCCAGAAGTGATTAAGCCCCGCAAACTGCCCATTCTGTGACAGGTTTGCAGTCGCAAAAATCAGCCGCTGCGCGGGGCAGTTGAGGGACCACAGTATCTGTTTCTGGATGCCAAGCAATGGACGCCGCATCTATTGACAGGCATCTTGGGCACCTTGCCTGCCGTCTCACTGCCCGGCCAGGAGGGCGCCCGCCCTCCTGCGCTGTGGCACGCAAAAGCAGTGGTAGACCTCTCAAACTGATGCCTCAAGGTTTTCAGAAGGCCCAGAAATGATTAGGCCTCTCAAACTGCTGTCCCAACAGTTGCCTGAAGGCCCAGAAGTGATTAGGCTTCTCAAACTGCTGCCTCAACCTTTCCTGGAGGGCTCAGAGTGATTAGGCCTCTCAAACTGCTGCCTAAACTTCTCCGGGAGGCCCAGCAGTAAGTAGGCCTCTCAAACTGCTGCCTAAAACTTCTCCAGAAGGCCCAGAAGTGATTAAGCCTGCAAACGGCTGCCGGAACTTTCGCCAGAAGGCCCAGAAGGGATGTGAGGAACTGCTGCTTCGACCTATTCCAGCAGGTCCAGAAGTGACTAGGCCTAGCACTTAGCTGTGGGTCCCGCATCAGGTGTAGTCACGGGGTAAACCGGCTTGAAGTGCTCTCAAAAAATCGGCCGCTGCGCGGGGCTCCGAGTTCTAAGGCCCCTTGACTCTCACACTTGACGCGCGGTTGGCTGCAGACCGTTAAGCAACCTTGTGGGCCTTAAACTGCACCAGGCTAAGCACGCCAAGCCGATAGGCTCCCGGTACCTGGGAAGCACACTACCCAAGTACCAGCCAGCAGCCTTTGGGGCTCTTGCGCCGTCTCAAAAATCGGCCGCTGCGCGGGGCTGTAAGAATATGGCCTCTTGCAAGCTGCGCTCCAGGCCTGCCCTATGGTCATAGCTACGTGAGGACGCCCAGACTCACACAGCGCAGACGGCAGCATAGTGTAGCCACACTAGCCCCTTGTCTGCCCCCGCTCGTCGGGGGGGAAGGGGGCGCCTCTTCTGGCACTCTGTGTGCATTGTGCTTAGTGTGCTTGCAACTTTCTTGCCAATCTACAATGGAGTCCTGAGTGCTATTGCTACGGCCCTGGCGCTTGTGTGGGGACTGTCTCTACGGACGCGTTGAGCAGTTTAGGTGACTGAGGTTCCTTGCCTTACGGCCTACCCATACTTTCGCTTAATGTCTGTACCAGACGTGGCGCAGCATTGCTTTGGGTGACGGGCTGCTGAGTGATTGGTGCCGGTAGGTTCTTGTTTGCATTGGTCTGACCATGCTGGCCTTGCGTAAAGTTGTCTTGCATTAAGGGCCTCTGCGCTTGCAGTTGCTTCTTTGTTGTCTCGACTTCTTTTTCACTCGCTGGCTTGTACAGTTTGGCTCTCAAAGTAGATGTCCTTGTCTCGCACCGAGTTTCGAGCCCCACAAGAACGGCCTACTGTGCTACTGATGTAGTAAAGAGGCGCCAGTCCAAAAAAAAAAGCCTTGTGCATGGCTGAGCAAGATATTATAGCCAAGTGGAACGTGCAGAGCGTCCGATGATTCTTGGCATAAGCATGTTTGGTGCTGCATGACTTGGCATGAGCATGTTTGGTTTTGCCCAAAGTCCCTAAAGCATGTTTGGGTTGACTGCGACATGTCTCGTCTTGTTGGCGTGGCCAAGGATAAGTTTTGAAGCACTTGGAACTGCTTGAGAGCAGTAGTGAAGTCAGAACTCTGAGGTTCTGTCTTGTTGCAACTTACTCCGTGTCCCCGCCACTTCGTTCGTTGCCGTTGGACGTGTAGGATGGGAGTAGGAGTGCAGAGTGGACTCTGAAGCTTCGCTGTTTTGCTGTTAGGAAGTGACCTAAAGTCCCGGGCTGGCAGAAGAGTTTGTCTCACTGTCTCGCTTGTCTTCTCTCGTCTCTTTGACAGGCTCGGGCTGGCAGAAGGAAGTTTTGTCCTGCTCCTTCGTCTCTCTGCGGGTCCGGGTTGGTAAAAGGGAGTTTGTCTCAATGTCTCGCTTGCATCCCTCGTCTCGAGGGCCCGGGCTGGTAGAAGGGAGTTTGTCTTAATGTCTTGCTTGTCTCGCCCCTTTTTTGGGTGTCGAGGCGCAAAAAGGGTTTGCTTGGAGCGGCAGCATGTTCATGGATTTATTCCTCGTTTTGCTTTGTAGCAGTAGTCTCGTTGCTTGAGCGTTGTTTTTGTTTTTGGGTGTGGTTCTGTTTCAGGGCACCCTAACCCGCTTCGTCCTCGCAGTAGGTTTGATCCACAGCTGCCCTGCAGTGCTTTGCCGCTCTAACCCCGTAGCACCCCTTCTCTCCCGCTCGGCCGTGCATTTCAACTTGCTGTCAGCGCTGCAGTCACCGTCGTTGCATCGTCCGAGGCGAGCGTCGTCCGTCAAGCTCATCGTCCGAGCCGACCGCACCATCGAGCGTCCGTGCCCCGCATCATCCCCGCGTCGTCGCCCTCGTCGCCCGTCGTCGTCGACGTGCCCGCTTCGCCGTCGCTCGCCGTCGTCGCCTCCCGCCGTCGCACCGTCACCGCATCGTCGAGCCCCCGCATTGCGAGTGCCCGTCGAGGCCCCTCCGTCGTCCACGCGCAGGACGCTTGGTATTGGGCATGCCGTGCTTTTGACATCCAGAGCAGCGTGCGCCTGCCGAAACCGACTCGGTTCGGGGCTTCAGGGTTGCTGGGGAAACTCGCAGGCAGCCTGGTCGGGATTGGGGGTTCTGGGGGCTGAAGCTGGGCCCTCTCTGAAGATGTGCTAAACCATGGCGGACCTGCCTCTAAACCTCCCTTTGAAGAAAAGCATTTCAAAAGCTCAAGTGTTCCGCAAAGCATGGTGTTTTGCTTCATGGGGTTCGAAGTGTACGTGGTCATTTGGCACACTTAGCCCATTTTTGAGTCGTGGCTTCACCCGCAACTCTCCTTTTCCCAAAAGCAGTTTGGGTGGACTCGTTCGGGGCAAGCTTTTGTTTTTTCCACACTGGCGTTTGTCGTTTTCTTCGCGTTGCCCCGAAACGGTGCCATGCAGTGTAGTTCTATGTCCTCCAGTTTGTGGTGCAGGTGCGAATCATCAAAGTCCTATCTGCCGCTCTCGTTTGGTTTCTTGCAGAGCGAATGTTGGAAAATCGTCACACATGGGATTTGTTTCGGTGCCGGCCCGATTGGCCCCACAAAACACAACAAGCTGGACAATTGAAGTTCCGCGATAGCACAGCCCCAGTGTTTGTGAGCAGCCATGTGGCGTCGCGTCGTGGCCGCCGCGCTCGCTCTCGCTGTCTTGTGCGCGGATGATCGTCTACCACTGGCAAAGGAGGCTGTGTGCGGAACAGGCGGGCAGGATTGCCCCAGGTGCACCGCTTCGTTGAGAAAGTGGTCCCACTGCACATTGGATGCCGAGCAGAGCTTCGCGGGTGGCACAACTGCGTTCCTGAAGAGCAAGGATTGCCCTGTCGGCATGGCTGTCTTTGTTAGCTCGACTCTCTCTCACAAGTATAACTCTTCCAAGATGGCAGATGCTGTGCTGACTGCTCCCGTACCACGTGGGGATGAGCAGGCGAGAGAGATGGCGTCACAGGTCCTGCGCGCCGCGAACATGTTCTTGCTTGCGATGCCGGAGGAGACAGTTGTCAGAGGTGCTGAGATTGGCGTCAAGGCAGCCAGTCTGCAATCCATGTGTTTTGGGGTCTTTCTCCCAAACTCGGCGTGCAGCCTCTGCATCGAGCACGTTGACCTCCCAGACGCAAAGGTGCATCTGGAAGTGAGGCAGCAGGTGAATTGCACAGTCCAGGACTGGATGACTGGGCTGTGCAATTGTGCCGGTGCTGTCACACGCGGTCGGCTGTTGGGGCTCTTGTACTCGTATGTGCACGATATGCTCCTTATGATAGGCCTGAATTTCCACATGCCGGACCCGACTCCCGCGAACCTTCTCTTGACTTGCAATCCTGAAGGCAGCACATCCTTTCAGCCACCAGGAGTGCAGTGGGCCGATTTTCTGGCCACCAGCAGCGGTCAGTCAAAGCGAGGCTTGCTGGCGGGGTCAGATCGTGAGATTGCTGACAAGGTGAAGGTCTTCTTCTGGAGCATCATGTTTGCGGCTCAACACCCCGATCTGGCATCGGTGCAGCAGATGGCAGACCTTTGCGTAGCCAGGTTGAAGTTTGGCTTGAAAGAAGGTGTGACCCTTTGCATGGAGCGAGTGTGGTCCGAGCAGCAGAAGATGAGCAACGAGGAGCTTCACGATTTCAGGAGGCTTGTGGCAGGAGAGATCTTTTTCAACGAGATTGATGCCTTGTCAGCTCGCATCACGGAGCTCGACGTAAGAGACGTGAAGAGGGAGCTCGAGCTCGCAGACGTGAAGAGGGAGCTCGCAGAAGTGAAGACTGGAGGCACTCGTTTTCCTTCGTCCTTCTCGCTTGCAGTTCACAACCGGCGAAGCTCTTGCGATTGCCCATAACGAGATACAAGCTTTTGGTGTTCTGCGAAGCTCTGCAGGCACGACCTCAACCTCATCCGTTTTCTGGGTGGGGGAGCTGATCCGCAAGGACTGTGCTGTCTGAGAGCAAATGCCGGTGATTGGAGCGCAAGCAATCGTTGACTGCATCAGTAGCATTCAGTAGCTGAATCCTGGGTTGGGGCACGGCTGTTTGGACGCTCGCCCGGCGCACCATTGTCCGCAGGGGGCGGAGATTGGGGGCACACGTCCGTTCGTGGACAGGGGAGGGGCTTCGGGAAGCGGTTCGGGGCTGGGAGTTTATGCTGTTTCTTGCTGGAGTTTCAGTTTGCTGTCGGTTCATGTCTGCCGAAGTTTTGACCCGCTCGACTTGCAGGATCGGACGGTCACGGACAAACTGAGGCCCGAGGAGGATTCCGATGCAAACAAATCATGTCCACGTTGAAAGCAGTGCATTCTCCAAGACGGGTGGCTGAATTTGTTCGCATCTCTGTTGCCGACTCACGAATGAAGTTCGATGACGGCAAGGAGTTCGAGCCGACGGGCAATGCATTCCAAGTGAAAGGAACCTTGACTAACGCCGCGACCTTAGATCCACTCACTCGATTGCCTCACTTCATGTCTGTGTTACGTCAGGTGAACTGCCAAAGCTTACAGAGTTCTGTGCATTGAACTCAAGAAGGATGGCGAGGAGCGAATTCCTGGCAGAGTAGGCAACCAGCTCCATTTTCGTCAAGCCTCTGTAACTACACGCGTCTCGGCAGGAAAGCAAGCTCCTCAGTACTCGGGACAACGGGCCGGTCCGGTCAAGATCACTCCCTTGGAGACCACCGTGGTCTTCGTCAAGATCCCTGAAGCTTTCACTTCGCAGGAGGGTTGGAAGCAAGCTCGTTCCAACCCGACGAGGTTCACTGCCTCGTGGGCTGCTTCCCACAAGGTCGTTCTTGCTGACGCATGGGGGTGGGTTGTTGATAGCCCCGGGAAAGCCGGCCAGCAGCTTCATGGCAAAGCAAGGCTTGCCACGAAGGAACTTGCATCCTTGCTAGCTGTGAGTGGACAGGGGGGTGTCTTCATTGACGCCATGCGACATGCCGTTGCGACCCAGGTTCAATGGATTGCCCAGAGCCCTGGTGAGACTGCTACTGCTTATTTTGAAAGAGGTGTGCGCATGGGAGCTCAGCTTGGGCTTGTCACGCAAGGCGGCCGCCTTGGAGCCCGCAACCCAAGAGACGCCTCTGTTGCTGTTGCCCGTGTTTGGTGTTTCCCACACGTGCCGCCGTCTTGGGGGCCCACCCAAGTGACTGATGTGCTGGCTTCGGCCTTTGATGATGTGGTGCTTTTACATCATCGCCGCATGGGCAAGGAAAGGATCTACCGCTTCAGGGCCAAGCACAAATTTGGCGACAAGGACATCGTTCCACTTCAGGTCGCCACCGATGACGGGGCCGGGGCGGACACCATCACCATGTGGGCAACGCTTGCGCCGCCTACGCCACCTAAGGGCAAGAAACAAGTGTTGCGGCAAGCCTCCGTGCCTTTCTTTGCGCCGCGGGAGGCGGCCCTGGCCCCAAAGGCGACTTCTGTCAAGCAGCCAGCTGTTCTGGATAGCCAGGGAAAAGAAACATCGCCAGCTTCTGTGAGAGTGCTGTCTCAACGCGAGGTACCTGCGAAGTGCAAAGTGGTACCCATCGATAAGGATGGCTCGTGTCTCTACAGGGCTGTTGCTCGTGGCCTCAAATGGTTGTCTGGCTCCAAGGCCACTGACTTCTGTCACAGGGACTTGCGGGCAAGAGCCATCGAGCATATCAGACGTCACAGAGCTGAGTACGAGGCCGAGTGGGATGGCCAAGGCCCTACCCTTGAAAAACTCAGAGCCGAAGCTAAGCCGGATGAGGACCCTTTTGCAAAATACCTTGATTTGGCAGCACACGAGTCGGCATACGCCAGCATTTTTGAAATCAAGGCACTTTCGCGGTTGTATGACACATGCATCATCGTCATTCCGCAGGACGGGTCCTTTGCCACTATGTCCTTCAAGGACCACAAGCGAAAAAAGGCCATTGCATTATGGTATACACCTAAGCATGTGGATCTCCTTTTACCCGAGCAGGAGGGCCAGTCCTACCCGCCTGATTTGTTTGTGGCATGTCAGGGCACCGTTGTCGATCTGAGGGCTGGCGGCCGCAACGCACCCTCTCTGTCCAGCGGAGCATGGACTCGGGCTTCTAACGCCCCTGCTGCTACGTGCTCAAAAGGCCCCTCTCGAAAGCGTGCTTGCAGCCGCGCCGACAGCATCTGGACCCGAGCATCCAATGCTCTGTCGTCTTGCTCTGCGGCCCCGCCTGCCGCGCCACACATCGAGTCACATGCTTACCGCAGCGCAGCTGCTACAGCCGATGTTGCCAAGACTGCGTGGGCCGAGGCCCGCGCTGGCCTTCCGTCTTCGGCCTCTGCGTGCTCTAGTGCTGCTGCCGTGCACAGCGCCTCCGTTGATGACTTTGAACCTGTTCCCGAACCCCCGGTTGAAGCCCGACCCTGCAAGCGCAAAGTTGCTTTCCGCTCGCCGCAGGGTGCCGACATCAAGTTCAAAGGCCTTTTCCAGTGTGACTTGTGCCCTTTTCGTAAGGTTGAACCTGACGCCAGGAAGCTGATTGTTGCCCGTTATAATCACCTGGTTCGGCGACATGAGGGACAGGGCATCAGCAAGATACGGCCGGCCCCTGTGCTTACCAAGAGGGCGCGGAAGGATGACTATCTGTGGAGGTGCCCGGTGTGCAAGGCAGGCCTCCTCAAAGATGACAAGGCTGATTGGAACGCTGCTGCGATCCAGCGCTTCAGGACTGAGCACAGGGTACAGAAGCATCCGGAGATCGCCCCGAAGGAGTGGACCAGAATGCTTCATTGCCACTCAACCACGTCAACCAAACGTGCCAAGAACAGAGCGAGCATTCTCAATCGACGTGTTGCTAAACTCACGTCCAGTGATCAGCCCCCTCACTTTGTTCCTTTCCTGTTGCCCCGGCCACGGAGTCGTGAAAAGCCCCGGCCCGGATGCTGGAATAAACAGGCTCATGTCAAGGTTGGGTTTATGAGCGTTTGGAAGTGCACTAGGTGTGGTGACCTTGCCCGCAGGAACCAGGACTTCAAGCGTCATGCTGGCGATGTGTGTCCCAAGCCGCCCTCGGATGCGGTCAGACAGCGCCGCCTCAAAGCACTCGCGAAATTGCAGCCTTTAGCCAACCCCACGCTGCTTGGATTTAGCGCCGCCCAGATCCAGGACATTTTCGCGTCAGCCCGGCGCGCCCTTGAGGACAAACCGCTGGCACCTTCCTCTCACTTCTGACTTGCAATGTTGCTAAGCGTGGCGTCTCCACGATAGACGCCGTTGCCTCGATGTTGCGTGAGCATGACATTTCCATTGCTGCGTTTCAGGAAATCGATGTTAACCGGGCATCGTCTGTTGGGTGGGCCGTTGCCTGGAAGAGGAAAGGCTATCGTGTTACTTTAGGCCCCGTCGGGCCTCGTGGTGATCATCGCGTTGCGTTGGCCTCTAGCATTCCAATGAAGCCGGTTAGCCTGCAGATGAGCACGGCAAGCGACCGGGTCGCCGCTGGCTTAGTGGCCTGGCCCTTTGGTGACCGGACGGCTCAGGTGTTGGTGGTCTGCTTCTACGGCTATCCCGCTGACCTGGCGTGTACCTCCGAGGCCTTTTCCGCCCTGATGGAGGCCATCGCCCTCTTTGGTGGGCTTTTTGTGATCCTTGGTGATTTCAATTGTTGCACGCAGGATGAAGGCACGGTCGCATCCATGTTGAGCTACCATGTTGCTCGTGCGGCTGACTCCGCTTGCTTGACAGACCCTGAGTTCACCAATCCTCAAAGAACACGGCGTATCGACTATGCATTGACACATCTGGACTTGGTTGCTCAACAGGTACACACCTTCAGGGTGCCCGGCATCTCGGACCACGGATTGGTGCGTGTGGACTTTGATCGCCGAAGCTTCCAGCCTTCATGGGGTAAACCTCACTTCGCCGACTTTGTGGGCCCTGCTCCCTCAGTGGATGACCTTGACCCTTTCCCACTCTCGACTCTTACGGATTTGCTTGTCAATGACAACCTGGATGAGGCCTGGACTTTACTCTCTGATTGGGCTGAAGTTTTCCTCGGGGTCCATAACCCTGTTGCCCCCCGCAGCATGCCTTGGCAACCTGTGGCACGCTCGACCCCGTGCGGAGCTCCGTCGGTTGCTGGGCACGAACCCGCTCCGCTTAGTGCTCTCCGCCGCCTTGAGCAACGACTTGATCAGTTGATTCACCGTCCTTGGGACCAATGGCTTCGTGGCCGCATCTCTCGCTCCCTGCGCCAGGTCCATCATTTGGTGCCGGAGCTTCCCCATTTAGATTTGGATTTCCCGGCCTCTGCTCTTGATCAGGTTGTGGAAATGCTGAAGCTCCATCAAAAAGCACACCGTGCGGCCTGCTTGGCGAAGTGGCGGCTCAAGACCACTGAGACAGTTACTGGAGCTGTCAACTGGGTCAAGAAAAGGGCGGAGCGTGAAGTGATGTTACAGTCGCCGCTTCCCTTGGAAACTGTGGCGGCTGGCCAGGTTCACCCTGCCGACCGTGTTAAACACCACGGTGAGCTATGGTCGCGCAAGTGGCAAACCCCTGCCACTACGGCTGATTTGCCTGCGTATCAACGCATTTTGGCCTCCTTGTCTTCTCATCCTTCCTCTGATTTGGACCTGACCCCGACATCCGATGAGCTTCGTCGGGCCATGAAAAAGATGAAATCGAAAGCTCCAGGCTCCGATGCCTGGTCGGCCAAAATGTTCTTAGCGCTCCCAGCGTCGTGGTGGGATGGTTTCTGCCTTCTCTGGACGGCGGTTCTTCGCCTGGGCCAGGTTCCCAACATCTGGCGTAGATCGCTTGTGGTTTTGCTAGAGAAGAGCAATCAGTCTTCCAGGCCCATTGCCTTACTCCCTATGGCGTGGCGTGCTGGGGCCCGTGCTATTGCTTGGCGCCTCAAGGCTTGGGTCCTGTCTTGGTGTAGCCCACGTGCTTGCGGCTCTGCCCCGGGCAAAAGTGTTGCGGATGTTCATCGACGCATCTTGCAGGCTTGGCAGCAAGGCACTCGGTCCTTTGTCCAACAAGATCTTAGTGCCTTTTTCGACTCCTTGAGTGGCCCGGTTGTTTCTGCGACTTTGCGGCACCTGGGGGCTCCTGATGCCCTCACTCGTCTGATCTCTGGCTTCTACGAGAGGCAAATGCGGCTGTTTGTAGTGGACTCCCACACCTCACCTCACTGGCGATCTGCCCACGTTGGCCTCCTACAAGGCTGCCCACTCAGCCCCGTGATTAGCCTCTGCGTGGGACATCTGTGGACCGAGTTTGTGTCCTCGACGCAAGTCGAGTCAGGCATATTTGTTGACGATCGTGTGCTATGGTTGCGTGCACATGCTCACTCTGCGGCGCAGACTGCGCAAGCGGCTCACCAGGCCCTTTGCAGAAGTGATCAGTTTGACCAGGCTGCCGGCCTTACTTGTTGTCAGCGTAAGTGCCACCTCGTCACATGTGACCCTGCGTGCCCGTGGCGCATGGAGGCTCAGCACCGCGGATACACCATCCAACCGACTCTGCAGTTCCTGGGCATCGAGTTATATCTCGATCATGGAGGTGCAAGCCTGCTGAAATTATGCCTTGCCAAACTTCATGCTCGACTGCGCCACGCCACCAACCCAGCCTTCAGCCTTGCTGTGCGGCGTGGAGTCATCAGTAGCTTGGTTTTCCCGGCTCTGTTCTGGGCTGCTGGGGTGGCCATCCCGTCCCAGAGTGAGCTCACTAGCGTCCGCCACAGCATAGCGCAGTCGCTTCGTGGTACCCTGACCTTTGAAGCCCCACGTGTTTTGGTCGGGCAGGTCCTGGGCTGGCACATGGACCCCCACTGGATGGCTGACTGGTCATCTCTCATGGCATTGTCTCGGACCTTGCTGCGCCCGCCTGACTGGTCGGACGAACTCACACTCGATGCCCTAACCGCCTACCGCTCAGCCGGTTACCCTGTGGCCCAACAGACTTTGGACCGGCTGGGCTGGAAACTTGATGTGGCAAACCGGAGTGTTTCTCGCATCGACGACCAAGGCCTCACCCGGGTGTGCCACTTGGGCGAGGACTCATTGCTGACCCTCCGCCACTGGCTCATTGAGGAGTACAAACGCACCACCACTGCAAGTTGTGGCCGTATTCAGCGTCGCCAACACCGTGGTGACCGCGGTGACCCATCCCTTGCGGTTGGTTTAGACCTTCCCCGCCCGAACCCTAGGGTTAGGTTTGCCTTTGCCGGCCATGCACAGCTTTACAAACAAGCCACCACCCTCACTGAGAAGCGGGCTTGCTTAGCGACCGGTGGCACTGCGTGGCACTTTAATGCGCGCAGAAATGGTACGATGGCAACTTGTATGTGTGGGCGTGAGTGGCCGTCTCGCAGTCACCTCCTTTGGACCTGCCCTGCGCTGGCAAATGAACGTTCAGCCCTCACGCTGCCTGAGAACCGAGTGGAGGAGCGCCTTATGGGCCACCCCATCCTGGAATACCCGGCGGCCCCTACGGCCAACGATCAACAATGCCGCGATCAGCTGGTCCAGTTTTTCGTGAAGGCTGTTACTCTTGGACATCACGAGCTGCTTTTCGCCACCGACGGCTCCAGCCAGGACGGCGTCGGCAGCTATGCGATTGCCTGCAACTCACCCCCGGGACAATTTGCAGGAGCTGACTCGTCTGAAGATCAGTCTCCTTTCAGAATGGAACTCCGAGCACTGGATGAACTCTTCGCAGCCCTGGTTGAAGTTCATTCGCCTCCTCGTAAACTTTGGGTGCTCGTTGATTGTCAAGCTGCAATCAAGGCGATGTGTCGCCCTCATTCGTGTGGACTGCGCCTTTTGGCAGAACGCCTCCAGGCCAATGGCAAGCTTGCAAGACTTCGGGGGACTGAGTGGTCCCTCATCTGGGTCCCCAGCCATGGGAAGCAGGCCTCCTGGTCTCCTCCGTCATGCTGCCCTGTGTCTTCGGCGATGTGTCGACAACTCAACCAACAGGCTGACGATGCTGCTAAGTCGCTGTGCCAAAGGCGGCATCATGGGTCGGCCCGTGCCTCCTGGCACCGAGCTTTTGAACATGCTACTCAAAATGAGCAGGCTATGATTCGGATTGCTGTGAAATCTTCCTTGCGTCTTGAGGCGCACCTAGGTACAGACCGGGACCGTGTCCCCGTTCCTCCTTCCATCTTTGATGTTGAGGATGTATAGTCTTTCGGCCCACGCGTGAAGCCCGGCGCGGGTTCTTTTCTAAGGCCCGCGGACGTTTGCAACTCGGAATAAAAAAAAAAGGTGGATGACTTGAAGAAGGCCCTGCGCTTGGATCTTGCGCGTGGATTTAGCTCGTCCTGTCTTTGGAGTTGTTTGCAGATGGGCGATGAAAAAGATTGAAGTTTAGAGTGTCCTTGTTTGCTCATGAAGTCAGGCAATCAAAGCGGAAGAGGAACTGTCCATCGCAGCATCCAAGATTAGTGTATACAGCCTGAAGGAGAGCTTTTCATGTCAATCTCACTCTCCTCCGTAGCCCTCCCTGTGCCGCGTCTCAGCTTGACTTTGCAGGACAAGGCCTGGGTGAAGGAAGACGAAGAAGCAGAACTAGATCGCGGCAAATCTAAGCCAAGCGCTTGGTTTCGATGACTTTTCAGCTTAGGGGTTTTGCCGCCGCCCCGCTTGCAGGGCAGATTGCTATGGGTTCACGCTGCCACCAGCGGGCGATGCTTGAGTTGCGCGCGTGTGCCTCAGCACGTCCCTGGTACGGGCGCCTAGTAGGTGATTCATGCTGCTCTTGAGGTCACGCACTTCACCGTACAGCCCAGGCTCCAAAATTACACACAAGCCCAGTTCGGCGTCAAGCTTCACAGGCCTTTGTTTCACACGTCGCAGGAACTAGACTAGCCTGAAGAACCCAGCTGATTTTCCTGCCGTTTTTTGGGCATCGCGCTTCGCAGGCACCAAGCCGAAAAGCCCTCAACTTTTCACTGGTGCCCACGTTGTGATTCAGCTTTGGCTTGCTTCACAGGGGCCCGTTCTACAATGGCCTACAATTCATTTCTTGAATATTCACAGGTTACTTGCAGGTCAGCCTGGCTGCTATGTCATAGACCTCACAAGTGGATAAGACTGAAACTTCACGCAGGGCCGAAGAGGGGCCATCGGGAATTTTCAACCTCACTATATTTTGCAGGAGCGTTCAACTTGTGCGTCGGCCCTGCCTCCATTTGGTAGGACATCATTGAATGTCAATGCCTGGTGTCGCGCTGATGGCCGACGTTAAGAGTTTCTTGTCGGACTTTGTTTCAAAGGTCAAGGGTGAAACGGTTGACGAGACTATTTTTTTGCTATCTTTTGCTCGTGGTGCGCACATCATGGAGGATGACAGCTTCATGTGACATCACATCAAGTAAGTCATGAGCAGCTTTGTTAACCTGCACACCAACGTGCCAATGAGTGGCCACCAATCGGAAGCAAATCGTGCGTCTCATGGTTGGTGATAGTTGCCTTCCTGCGTGGCCGTTTGCGCGAAGTTTGCGTGCCCTTTCAGAGCATGGACACAGTCACCGCATGGAAGCAATTTTAGTTTTAGTAATCTGGTTCGGCACAAATAATTTTTAAGATGCCAGCATTTTCCCTGATGGGGAGCCGTGCTGCCATTACGACGCTGCTTTGGGTGCCCTTGGATTCATGAGATTGCTATAAGGCAACAACTTCGTGGCCACGTCAGGTACTTGTGCGATCACGCGCACCCGAATGTCGAGACGGGTCAGTTGATGACTCTCAAGCAGCTTAGTCACGTGTTGCATTGCTGAAACAGTCCGCGTCCTGCCATGGTTCAGAACTCTTTACTGTATGAGGCCAGCCAATGTAAGTTGGTAAGTTTTCCATGGTGTGCATTGCAGGTAGAAGATGCTTCCGTGCTTCAAGTGCAGGTTTCTGAACGGGTCGCTCACACAAATTGCAGCGAGATCATTGTTGTTGATGGAAGCATAGCTTGTTTCAAGCAGCCACATGGCCATTGAGGCTTCGTCAGTCCTCAGCGTCAACGAGACAGGACAATGGAGTTTAGACCTTTAAAACAAAGGCATTTCGGCATTTCTGGCAATGCATCAGGTTGGATGCACCACGGGAGCAGCATCTATGCTGATGATCAAGGACTGCTGCCACGGGTTGAGTTACATGATGGGGTGTGTTAAAGTGCTGTCAGGCAACATGTTCGTGACCATTGGTCAGGATTCCACGCGGCAGATGGAACTGATAAGCACTGCCGTCCAATTAATGCAGATGGAGAGGTCACGGGCCTGCAGGTGCGGATCCGAAAGGAGATCCACAAGATGAAGCTTTCAGCAAACATTTTGCGCCATGTGCATGTTGTGCAAGGCCACTGCTGCCACTGCCTGGCAGCATTTCTGCGTGTTTGAGCTAAGGACAGATGCGGAGTTTGACAAGTTCTCACAGTGTGTTCGCAAGATGAAAGATTTGAAGCCGACCTGTACCAGCGGCTACAGGTGTGTGAGCCTTACTGCAAGTTGCTCTCTGTGTTCTCTATCTTACTTTCTGCATCCCACCTTGGATGTGGTGTCAAGTTCTGGGCGTTGGTGTCGGCTGTAGCCCTTTTGGATGCAGCTCAGGCATTCAAGACTACCCGAACACTTGGGATTCCTTCCTGGCATTTCATATGCGCTTTGCCTGCACATGTTGCAAGCCGGCTTGTTGAGGCGTGGGCTTGGACAAGGCTTGGATTACACAGCCATGGGTACTGGAATTCCATGTCCCAGTTTGCACTGGAGTTGAAACTGCATTTGGCTGACAAGGAATTGCCATCAACAAGAATCGGAGTTTTGGGTATGTCACCGACATATGATGTATGATCTGGAGACAAGTCTTCAAAAGATGCTTGGTAGCCTTTAGAGAGGACCTGCTGCTGGCCTTGTTCCTACCTCCGTCGGGGGCTGCCAAAACTTCTGCGAGGCTTTGCAACGACTGTAGCATCACCTTGCCATACTGGAACTCTTTCAGAGAGGCTGGCAACCTTTGGGGTCGCGTGTCTCCACATATATTCATGAGCAAACGGACTTGGGGACGAAGCTCCCGAAAAGCGGATGCTTGCAAAGAGCTGAGGCTCTACTACTTGGGCGCCCAACCGCTATGGCAATCCATTTGGTCTTCAATCGGACGCAGCGTGGTGGTGCTACGATCATGGCTGGAGCCAGTGTGCTCCTCGACTCGATGCTTGCTTGGCCAGGTCTGTTTGGTTCCTGGCTGTGTTCTGTATATCGACTTGCAGAATATCTCCACAACTTATGGCTTAGAGGGCTTCGAGTCAGACCTTCGGTTTCTCTAGTTGCTGTGCTCCGTATCTCCACATCTCTTGCTGGTTCCATCGAGCAGAACTCCATTGTGCAACATGTGTTTGCTCAACCTAGCTTCCAGAGCCAAATTCACAAGCAAGGTCATGGAGGGTATCGGCAAGGGATTCGTGATGAATCCGGACGCTGACCAGTCAACCTGTTGCTGGGCTGCAGCCAGAACATGAGCCACGCGCGGCCCCCATGAATGATCACAGAACGTCGTGATTGCTCCCGGCCCCTGCTCAGTACCTGACGAAGGGGAACTCTGTGACAGTTGTCGTTCACCATGCGCTGCAGTCCCGAGAACACATGAGACCAGAGGCACTCGAACCGGAGCATGGCCCTCTGGTTTTGTCAAGAGTCCAAGGTGCAGCTTGCCTCAGTCGGCAGCCTTATCGCTGGGCCAAGGTGTCGTCTCTTCCGGTTGTCATGGCCCCTTGTTCAGGGAAGTTATGGGTTTTTTCTCCGGTTGAAGATTTGGTGCTTTGTTGTTGGTGGGGATCACTCTTTAGCTCCCTTTGTCTTGCCACCCTGGGGCACCTGGGTCCTGAGGCAACGATGACCGCCCAAGAGAGCTTCGAGACCATCCAGTCCAAGTTTGACACCTTCCACGTCGGCATCCACACCAACGTAGGCTCTCCATTTTCTTAGGTGCATTTTCAATAGCTGCGGATTTCCTTGGGGAGCATATTCTAGCCTCTGATATCCCTGATCGCGTCAACCTCGACTTCGGGATGTTAACAGCAAGCGGTAAAGGGGAGCAAGGGAGCGGAAGCGCCGTGCCCTGGGACGAGGTGGCAACATGGCGAATCTTCCAGATTCAACCCTTGACCCAGTCTTCTGGTTACACCACGGCGTGGTGGATTTTATGTTCACCTTTTGGCAGGCCCGGTCAGAAACTACCATAGCCATAGTACGCTCAACAGAAGCGACTCCGCAGGCCTGGCAGCACAACAACGAGCAGACTCATCCAACGTGTCGAAGTTGCAGCACATGCGCCGCAGCTGAACTTTGCAAAGTGTTTGGGCGCATCGTCACAGGGAGCCGGCAAGAGCTTTGCGCAGCCCTTCTTGCTTGCACTGATGCTGCATGCGATGGCTCTTGTGAGTTGCAAAAGAGTACCAGAGCTGGGACTGATCGCCTCCCTTGCTGAGGGGAAGCCACCAAGCACCTACAAGATAGTTTAATCTCAAGTGTCCCCGCAGCGCCTGCAGAATACGGCTGCTGTGCATGCTGCAAGCTGTCGCGAGTTTTCTGCACATCACACAGCTCGGAACCCGCCTAGAGGCCCTGCTGGTTCTTGGGCCTTTGCTCAGAGTTTTGGTTTCAAGACGGCTTTTTTGGGGGTTTCGGATGGGCCGCAACAAGCAAGCAAGACCTCCGGCGGAAGATTTCAGACTACCAGCTTCAGCGTAGTTTGAGCAGCAAAGTGAAGCTGTATACATGAAGCCGCAGCTGAAAGGAGGTTTTGCGAGGCAGTAGCTCCAGAAAGCGAAGAAACGCCAGAAAAGTTCCACGCGGAGCTGCCTTGAAAGAGATGTTGGGAGGGCTTTCAGAGGAGTGCAGCAACCACGGAGCCTTTCTCAGATGTTCTCTCCATCCAACACGAGACTAACACGCTTCCATTCGGAGGCAGTGGGCACCAAGTCTGAGAAGTTCTCAAGACCACCTTTTGGGTGTCTAGAGGGCGTTTGCGTTCTTCCAATGTTCCTGCATGCAAGGCAACCAACCCATGACTTACTACGGCGTTCCGAGAACTGAGTGGATGGGCCGCTGGAACTCTGAACTCAACTGCGTGGAGGCAGGGTTCTGCATCTGCTTGCAAGCTCTTGCAGTACTGTTCACGTGTTCAGCAAACATTATTATAGGTGGTGCCACTGCGTGCAGTTCCCACATGTCTCGTCTCGTCAGGTACCATGCTCGAACCCAGTTGCCTGCATCGGCTACGATGGCTACATTGAGCCAGGCCATGGAGAGCGGAAGCCTCGTCGAATGAAAACTCTCGGTTCCAGCACAGTAGGATACAGTAGGCTACACTTCTTCTTCATACAGACGCCGTGGATTTGTGACAGCTTCTCGTGTCCTCGGCTTGATGGCAGGAGTCTGGAACCCACCGGCGCCGCCTCCACCGCCACCAAGGCCTCACCGCTGGCAGCGGCGATGGCACTCATGGCTCCAGAACGAGACCAAGCAAGAGCCAGGTCACCTGCCTGTGGGAACCGTAGTAGCACAGTAGCACAGTAGCACACGCAGACGGTGCTGAACATTCCCAGTCTAGGAATGTCTGTTCCCGATTGCAGGTGCGGAGTCTCTGGTTGAAGGCAACGTCGCCGCGTTCCAGCCAAACATGCAGGTGCGGCCCGTTATCATTGAAGCTCCCAATGGGCACAGAATCGTGGAGTCTGCGAGCGCTTGCCTTACGGGCTTATTTGCCAGCCAGCAGCATCGTGTTGTGAAGGTTCTGTGCCGCTGTCACCACACATCATGTTACACGGTACACGATGTCTCCAGCACACTCGGGACATTAGGCCGTGCAACATTCGGGTCAACGGAGCGTTTGGAGCAGATGGAGTGCGACTTGACGTGATGTTCCAGAATGTTTCTGGTGTTCTTTGACTTCAGATCTACCGGACGTAAAGCTGTAATGTGCTATGCCAGGCGAGGAGACCTTCAACAAGATTCAGAAGGGCACCTGTAGTTTGGGCGAGATCTCTAAACATGTGGTGCTCACGGCGAAACAGGACATGTCCCTGGGCAGGAAAGGGCTTTGTCTCTCTTCATCTCTTGTGCTGTGTAGCCGGTGGGGATGCTTGCAATTAGGCAGCTGGCACGCACGCAGTGTGCAGACTTCTTCGGAACACTTCGGCACCGCGGCTTACTTTTACGCAAGGGCACTTTTAGCTGTCTGCGAAGATTGCGTTGTTCTGGGTTTTTGTCAGGGGGATGGTGCCCGAAAGCACTGTGGAGAGGAGGACTGCAGCTCCTTGCAGTGCATGATCCTTCCTTTGCAGCCCCTACCCGTTGGCAGTTGCCCCCTTTTTGTTCTTATATTCCCTAGATGTCAGGATCTCAGAGTGCTGGAAAGCCGCGGAAGTCATCGAGAAGGTCCAGAACATGTTCAGGCAGGTGAACACAAGCAGAAGTGTGTAAGCTTGGTGCTTTTCTAGCGCTTTGCTGGAAGGTACAAGGAGCCCGAATCGGAGGCTGAAAAGTTGCGGAGGGCTCAGGGCGACCTCTAGGCCCAGAGCGTAGAGACGTCACGCGCCCTCCTCTGCCCAGGTACGGCATCGCCTGCAGAGCCGCGAACTTGCGCTGCTAACCCTTCTAGATTCCTGACCTACCTGCCCGAAGTGGCACAGGAACAGGACTTCATAGCACAAAATATCATTACCATTGCTGGAGCCACGAGCTCAGCGGCGGTGGCAACTGCCAAGCAACGGCCGTGCGGTGGCTTGGTGTACTGATTTTGGTCTTGTGTCCAGAAGAGACATGTGGCTGCAAAAAGGGCCGGGGGGGGGGAGACGCCAGAAGCGCTTAAGTCGCCTGCGTGTCTGGAAGGTAAGCAGCTTGGACAGTTTGAGCCGCGCGGCCTTATGCTGCTCCAGGCCCCCGCCCCCCCAACCGACAATGTAGCCCCCCTCGCGATGACTGCCTGGAGCCATGAGACAAGGGAGCGCACCTTCCAATGCGTTTCATTGCTGGTTTGCCTGGCCACTGCAGTCCTGGCAGCCGTTGCAGTGCCACTCGGCCAGTGAACTTTACGATGCTTTTTGGAGAAGTGTCGTTGGACATGTCCAGCTTCAGCGTTCTGGCTTGGGAGCTGGGAATAGACAACTTCTGAAGCCAGCTCTTGGTTTCATGCTACTTTTTATTGCGGAACCTTCGCCCGTGCACGTGTGAAGTAGGGAAAGTCTGATGATTTGGGAAGCGGGACGAGGCGAGACGACCTCAAAAGTGTAGGTTGCATCTCCGCCTGGGAAGTGCAGAATGCCGGCTTGGGTACTCGGTTGCGTGCGAAGAGAAGCCGAGGCTGCTTTTGGAGTGCTTTTTTATTTCGCCTCAGCCCTCCCAACCTGAAATTCGCTGTGCACACCCCGTGCCCGGACCGCTTGGGCCCCTCCCACTGTGACTACTTCAAAAGGCTTGTTAAAAAAACAAATTCAGTTGTTCTAGTGTTGTGCCTTCGTCTGCGATGCGCACGCTACAACCGTGTTGGGCCAGCCCGGCTGCCGAGGCGGCGTGCGCAAGCGTTTACAACTAGTCTCCACCCATAAGGCCGGGCAGATTTTACAGATGCGACTAGCTGTCAGTATTGATTAGACTACAACAGTTTCGACTCCTCGAAAGTTGTTGACACGTGGCACAGAGGCAGCAGTCTTTGGCATGACAATGTGGCCAGCATCCAATATCCCAAACGAAGTCGCCGAGGGGCAGGGAGCATGTTAGCGGCATGTTTTTTCCGGCTGAAAATGGCACTTGCAGCTAAAAATGTAAGTGTCCGAGGTATGCTATTGGACCCACGTACTTGATTGGACAAGCTCTGCGCCTCTTGCCAGACAGCCCTGGCTGGGCCTGGTTTGCAGCATGGGCTCTTCTACTCTTTGTGAATGTGGTGTGTATGGTGCCTCTGTGGCAGGCCCCCGCCTTTCGAGCCTTTCCCTTTTCTTTGAGAAAGTCTGCATGGATCCTGCAGAGCTTGATTGCACTCTCCAGATGTGTTGGAGGCCATTTGCGCAGCCTCCGGCCTCATGTTCGGTCATGGCCTGAGTTAACCCCCTGCTTTTCCTCAATTTGTGCAAAGGTGTCGGCCCCCAAATTTGTGCTCTCAGGCCTTTGGGGTGGAACGGCCCTGAACTTCTTGGGACTTTATGCAGCAGCGGCGGTGAGCACGGTGCTGGGCCGCTTCTTGCACCTCGTCTCTGTCGCGTTTCGAAGCATGGAAGCAGTCCATATGGTCCTTTCTCAAAAGGATGGTCCCTTTGTGGGCACCCTAAATAAGAGGGGCCGCCTCAGAATAAGGACCCCGAAAGGGGACCATCTTGTAGAGAAGTGACCATGTGAGCCATAAGAGGGCACGCTCGGCACATGGCCTGGCCAAGGCTGCAGGAGCCAATTCGAGGCTGGCTTGATGAAGGGAACTTTCCGACTGCAAAAAGGGCTCTGCAAGTGCTGGAAGATGATGATGACTCTTTGGAATTCCAAGTACTTTTTCGCTTTCTGTTCATCCCTATATGGCTTCGAAACTATGGGCCCGCAACCCTCCACATACCTGTCTGGAAACTGCTGCTGGCTGCCGTCCCTCACACACTCTGGGTCTCCTTCATCATGGCCTCGCTGGGGTTGTCCTTGCAAGATGCGAACGACCTCGTGAACCAGGGTGAGGAGATAAGGATCTGGGATGCAAAGTGGCAGCACCTGGCTATGTTCCTGGTCTCCTGCGTGATGTCGTTGCTGATGTCCTGGTACTCTTATCGGAAGTATGCTGAGATGATGGCTGGTGAGGGAAAGCCCTTCAGCGAAAGTCAGCGACGAGAGCCTTGAAATCAAAGCCCTTGTAGCAGTTGTACTCCCGGAGTAGCAGTTTCACACTTGCGGCTGGTGCACGCTTGACCTGTGTGGTTGCACAGCGCGTCCTCGCCACAGCATGAAAGGTTGCACAAAGGGACTCCGGAAAGTCCTCAACGGCATCAGCAGCACCGAAGGTGTACTTGAGAAGTCTGCAAAGCTTTCGCTTTCAATGCAGCTGACCACCGTGTCTCGCACGGATCATGCACTGCCGCTGTGAAGTGGTTGAGGCATGTTGAGGCATGTTTGCTGTCTAATGCGCAGAACGGCTCAAGGATCTGGGCCGAGCTCCAATTGTCTGCTCTGTGCAGTTCCATGTAGACGAGTCCGATGCCTGATGGTTCTTTCATTGCAGGAAAGTTCCTGCATGTCCTGGCAATCATAGCGGTGGTGGATGCCGCGCAGACGTTTGGAGGAGATTTCGGAAGCCCCTTCGATGACAGCATCCCGTTCCATTCAGACGTAGACGACCCGTCCATTGCCCAGACAATCTTTGGTTCAGACAGTTTTGGGGCGACGGATCTGCTGAACATGGATTCAGAAGAGCTGGCCCTGGACGGTGACGAGACATGGAGCATCTCGGGATCGTACTGCTTAGCTGTGTCCTGCTACTGGCAGCTGTAGGCTGTAGCTGCAACCGAGCTATAGCTGCAACAGAGCAAGATGTATGCCGAATTCCAAGGATCGCAGCCCAGAGCAAATACTGGCACAATTGATCCTTTCACGTGTGTCGACACGACTCGGCGGTCTGCAATTGCCGCGGGGCCGCAGTTTCTGGCGCCTGGCTTTGTTTTTGCTCCATTCGCTGCTGTCATTGACACAGCTTTAGTTTTTTTTACACTGAGCAGCTGGGTCTGGTTGTAGGAATGCAGCTTCTTTGGTACGAGGGGTGCGTGTCTTGCTCAGGCTTGTTTTGATTTCTCCACGGCAAGCTGTGCGGCCTTCTTGGAGACCCCGTGTGACTGCTGCATGGCACCATCTTCTGTTTTTGTCGGAAGCAATCGGGGGCTTGCGGAACAGAGGGGCGGGCACACGAGGGCTCAAAGCCGCTTTGTTGCTGCTGAGGCTCCACAACGAGACCGATCTGCGTTACGCAGTCCGGCAGCAAGGCATCGCCTGCCTCGAACGACCGCCCGGACTGTGGGTTGCCTAACCGCAGCATGCATATCGCCTAGCAGCCCAGATTCGGGTGCTGAACACCCTGCTCCTTGTTTGGAGGAGCTGCATTCCTGCTGCTCGAGGATCTTGGATGCACTGTGTTGCATGCTGCAGCGCCTGCTGGGTCAGCGTTCTGAATTCTCAAACACATGTGTCAGACTTCCAGCTGTTCTCATCTGTTCCCTTCATGCTTGTTGTTTCGTGAGCTGTTGATGGATCTGGTCGTCCAAAGGCCTGGGACTGCATCAGAGGGGATGTTGCTTGGCAAAGCCAGGGAGACCTGGCTGAGAGAAGAGCTCGAGCTGCACGTTTCTTGGCACTATGAGGGCAGAGGGCAGCTTGGCCCAGGAAAGCAGCCCCTTCGCAAAGAAGATCATGGAGAAAGCACTCTCCTCTTGGGACACCAAAGAAAAGACCAAGTGTTTCAGCACAGCAAGATCTGCACGAGGCAGTTGCTTGCAGCGCACACGTGTCATGCGAGTTGTTGCATCTGCAGCCCGAGTTTGTGCAGGCACTGTCTCCCTCACAGATTGCAAGACAAAGTGTTGCCTGGCTGCAACAGCACCTAACGTGAGCAATAATCTGGGAACGTCGGTTCGCCAATATCACCCACGTCCACCTTAAACTCCGCTGCACGCGCCAGGTTTGGAAGAGAAACGCGAGGTTGAACCGAAGGCGGGGAGAGAATGAGAAAATGAGAGGAAGAGCTAGAGTCAGCTAGAGGCATGACAATCGCAAGTACCCAATCTTTAATCTTTCTTCTGGGCTGTGACAAGCGAGTCAGAGGAGTGCGATGCCATCCTCTACAAGGAGAAGGGCAACGGAGACCTTGCAGAAGTACAGCCGGCACATGAGGAATTTGTCCAGAGCAAAGGTCACGATTAGAAGTCTGTGAGGTAGTTCGAGGCCGCAAGAAGAGAAGCTGCAAACCTATCTCGCTGGATCCTAGGAAAAGGGCTGTGCTTTGTGCTTTTCGGCTTGGATGAGCCGTCATGTCGCTGTTCTGCAAGTAGCTAAAGTGGCGCAGGGATGCAGCTTGCCTGAGCTTGCCTGCTACTGTGTCTGCATCGTGTGAGACTTTGAATCTAAGGTGAAGAGAGTGACACATGGAAAACCTTGGTTTACAAGAAGCCTCTTGGACCGTTCAACAGCGGAGAGTGCCCTAGCATTAATACGACGTTGATGTTCCACCTTGTGTGGACTTGCTATGCTGACCGAGTGTCTGTTGCAGGTAGATCGGTGCACGGCTCGAAAGTGGTGCTGGACTTGCTGACGCTGAAGTTCTGAGTGGCATATGTACAAGCTTCGCGGCTCGCTGTTGTAAACAGCCCGTGGGTTTTCTACATCACACGGGTCCCCCTGCCCTTGAGCCGTGCCCCACTTCGATCACGCTCCTTGCTTAGTTGCCTTTCATCGTAGGATCGCAGAAGACGCTGCCATGGGCATGGTGGCTGTGAAAACAAGAACAACCCCAAACCTTGCATTGTGCTTGACGAGCAGAAAGGCCAGCAGAGCACCAAGTCGTAGCCTGACAAGAAGGGTTGGCTGAATAGCACGCGCACACATGATTACGAGGGCTTGCACATGGCGCCGCGCAGGCGGGGCCATGATTGGTAAAGGATGGTAAACGATACGGGAGCGTTGTCAGCAGGCATGAGTCCCCTGTTGTCGTGAGTCGTCGGAGTTTGCTGAAAAGTTTGCCCGCAGTTTGCCCTTGTGTTCTCCCCTTCTGAAAGGCGGAGAAAGCCCTCGAGTGGTGCCAATGGTGGAGGGAAAAGAGGCAAGCACAGAATGGGAACTGTTGCAGCTCACTTCGGTGACCCTCTGACTGTGCTTCGCTGACGCTGGTATGGGCTGAAAGGGGAACAGGTCTACTGACAGCACGTCTAAACTGCTCTACGTGCAAAAAAGGCAATTCTTGATGCTGTGGCCCAGGCTTGCAGGTGGAGGTGCACTCAGCTCTGAAGCAGCGGCCTATGCATCTTTAGCCAAGTGCATGGCAGTGCATGGCGGTGCGATGTCATCTTGTGTGGACACCTGAAAAGAGAGGTCTCTGGTGCTCGATGAAGATGGGGACGATGGGGACGAGCAGGCCAAGTGTCAAGCAGAAAAGTGTGTGAGCCAGACGTGGCCGCTACTTCGCCTCTGGAAGGCGAATCTGTCCGGCTTGAGTTGGGATGCGCCGGCCGATGCTGTCGCTTGCCTCAGTGTGCCATACATTTCCATTTTCCTTTTGGATGCTTGTCAAGATGGGACAGATGTTGTGCCCTGAGGTGAGGTGTCGGCACGGGGTCCGATTTAAGGCCTGTCCCGGTCGCGCGAATGCGCGTGAATCGGCAGTGGTGCTAGACGATGCGATGGTTCTCAGCATGTCCATGCTCAGAGGTGGTGAATCCTGACCTTCCCCAGCGGCTCCGCTTTGTCTCCACGGGCCCTGCCTCACAGGTGGCGCGGATACAGTACGATGTTTCATGCAGATGTTTGTTTTCATGGCTCGACGGGCCTGAAGCCTTCCGGAATTCGCAGAGTTTGCTGCTGGTTCTTGTGGGTGCGTGGGGTGCGTTGGGTGCACTGTGCCAAGGCGATGCGGCAGCTGTTGCTTGCCATAGGCACGAAAGTGGTTACTGAAGCTGATCCGGGCAGGGTCCAGGTAACGTGCTCAAGCGAACATGCATTTCCGATAAGAAGCCTGATTCAGAAGTCCTGTTTCGAACTATCTGCCATAGACGAAGCCTGCAACAAGGTAAAAGATAGGACTGGAGCGCTGAAGTCGAGTTGGATTGCTGTGGTGTGTCTCCGGGTACATGCCCGACATACGTGCTGCTTTATCTCAGTACCTGACTTACATCTCATGGATTCTATTTGCTTCAGAGGTGGACTTAGTTCGAGGTTACGCGCAGCAGGTCCCAACCTGGCGCGTGGGTTTGTGTCGACCCATGCCGATGCCGACCCTAAACCCACGTCGGCCGTTCTGCGTAGGCACTGGAAATCCGGTGCTGGTGAGCGGCCCCACCGGGGTGGGGAAGACCTGCTTCCTAAGAAGGGCTGCCAAGAGCTCAGAGTGTGCACCCAGAATTCTGCGGCCATCTGCATCCCATCGTTTTGTGACATCTAGGCAGAGTTGATGGGACAGCTGGAACCTGTCGCCTCCTCACGCTGTGCCTTGCAGGGGGTCACTTCCGCAGCCGTAGTGAACTCATGTGAACTCAGGTTTTCTTGTTCTGTGATGAGCAGTCGGAGACCAAGGGGCCTTGTTGTTGCTTTCAGAAGTCCCCTTAGCTGAAGCGCCTTACGAAGCCTGAGGACTGACATCAAGATGTTGCTCGGCGCGTATGTTTGCGGTGAGACCGCCTCGAGCTCGGCCTCGTTCGCAGATTTCCGTAGGTCAGAAAATGACTCAGTAGGCTTTGAATCTTTCGGATGTTTAGAGTGGATGGGTTTGGATTCGCATCTGGGCTCTATGTGCGTGGCTAGTTCAGGTCGGAGAGTTTGTCTGGCGGCCGGGCGTTGTGACGGAAGCCCTTCAAAAGGGCAGGCAGCAGCTCCCATGTCATGTGCACTTGCTCTCGCCTGTGGTCGTCGTGTTCTCTGTCAAAGTTGTTGTGCAAGCCATGTTTCGGCAGGTGGTTGGTGTTGGAAGATGTGGACAGAGTTCCCGCTGAGGCCGCGGATCCTTGACAACGTGCATTACAGTTGACTCTTGCCAACGGTGGAGACAAGATGCCACGCCCAGCAAGGTGCTAGCTGCGTTGCTGCCTCTCTCCGACGCGCGTCGTTTGGCTCGCTCACCCAGCTAGCCAAGCATATCGCGAGAAGATGCGCGCTGGATGTCGTTTCTGCTCAGGTGATTCCCGACCGAAATCAGAGTCTCGATGCGCACAAGGCTGGTGTGCAGCGCAACACACGGCAGATGTTAAGATGGATGACAAGATCGCAGAGGACTTCCAGCTCTTCGGTACACTGTCCTGCGGCTCTGAGCCGGTGTCAGCAACTGAGACCTCCTCTGTTGTGCGGCTCTTTTGTCTCAGACTAGTCAGCTAAGTCGCTGGTCGTCGCACGAAACGAAAGAAGGCGAAGCCGAGGCGTCCTTTTTCTTTTTATATATCAATGCTCATGCCTCTGCTCATGCCTCCTGCGCGAGGATGCTGCCACAAGGCCGCCGGCAGTCGCCGAAAAAGCAGGCCGCCGTGGGCTTCAGAAGAATGCTCTCGCAGCACCCGATGCTTTTATTGTTGGGCCTCAGAAGGTTAATGAGCATTGTAGCCCATGGTCTGACCTTGTGACAGGTGGATCTGGCATTGAACACGAGATGGATGACTTGCTTGCGGGAGATCCTGGTGCAAGGGGCCGCGCGATGGCCTTGATGGTTTTCAGACCCTTGAGTACTTCAGCATACCTCAGATCGGATGCAATGTCATGTGAAACGTTTCGCATCTTCTGAGGTACCGCAGCTTGTCACAGCTTGGATGCGGGCGGGATCCCCGGAGGTTAAAAACCGTAGTGTTTGTTCCCACATTAGACGATTTGACATCCTTATGCTGTTTTGCTGCTTCGAACTCCGTTGTCTGTTCGACCGTGCTAGGTCTGGGTGGCACCACTTCAAGAGCTTCACTTAGCTGAGCTGATCACAGGTGCACCACCACATGAAACGGAAAATGGCACTTGAGTCAGAAGCCCTTATATATATATGTATATATATATCTTCTTCTTCTTATTATTATTATTGATATTAATATTAATATTAACAATAAAACTAAAATTGAAATTAACATTAAAATTTAAAATTACATTAAAATTAATACTAATATAAATATAAATATAAATATTAATGTTTCTATTGATGTTTTTTTACCGGTTTCGAACATCTGTTGAAGTCTTTGCCAGGCTTGTTCCCGGAGCTTGCGCCCATCCAGGCCCAGTTGTTGGATTCGGCCTCGGCGCTGTGCGAAGCCCGGCCTGGGGCCGTCTGTGAGAATGAGAGTTCCTTTCCTCTCTACCAGAGCACGTAGGTTTAGGGTTTAGGGTTTAGGGTTTAGGGTTTAGGGTTTAGGGTTTAGGGTTTAGGGGTTTAGGGTTTAGGGTTTAGGGTTTAGGGTTAGAACCAGAACACAGCTTTACATTATGGTTTTGTAGCAGCAAGCAGCCACTGTGAGCAGCGGAATACAGCGGAATCAGACTTTGAGGCGCCTGGCTGCAGAGGAGGCCGGGTCACGGGCCATGCTTGGTGGCCTGCCAGCCACAGGACCGCGCGGCTCCCAAGTGACTGCTACAGATCTGCGAGGTGACGGAATGTTTGCTTCTCTTTGTGAAAGTGTATATTTTGTCCATAAAATGTTTCTTCGGAATTCAGTGGCCGATGATGCCAATTTTTTTCAACGCCCAGGCGAGACCTGCTTCGGTGGTGTTCGCGGCTGCGCTTGGCGAACCTGGTGCTGAGCCGGGCGCCCACGCTTTAGGGATTAGATTTCTTGCTTGCGCCCGCAGAGGAGGGATGCAAAATGTAATGTGCTCGTAGCATCTTGCGAGACTTTCGCTGGGAAGGCTTGCCTGTGAGAGCAAGGCTTGCTTAGGGAACCCCATGGACCCTCGACAATCCCATGGGTGAGGCCCGACCTTCACAGAAGAGAGCCGAACCATCGTCCTGAGGGAGGCGCTGCAGGCGTCATCTGAGAATCTCCCTGCTTTGCTGATGTCGGCTGCAGCTCCCAAGATGGCAAGGTTGTGCTCGGACGGGTAGCCGACCTTCGGCTGCGCCGTGCTTTTTTGTCTTGCCGGCTACAGAGTTCTCGCATCCATAGGGGGGGGGGGGGGTAGGCCTTTGAGCTGAAGTCTCAGGTCTGGCCCCGATTTGGTCCTTGAGCTCGGGCATTGCAGATGCCTTGATGGAGGAGCTGAGCACAACAAACCCTCAAGGTTTTCAAGCCTGGAGCCCGCCTAGGCCCGAACCCCAAAAACCCAAGCCCTAAAACCCCTAAACCCGAAACCCTAAAAACCCTAAAGCCCTAAACCCTAAAACCCTAACCCCCAAAAACCCGTAATCCCTAAAACCCCTAAACCCCAAAACCCTAAAACCCTAAAACCCTAAAACCATCAAACCCTCAACTTCCCCTGAAACCCGAAGCCAACACCACCACAAGGAGCTTCCGACGGTCACCCTGCTGCCATCGGCCGCTCCGCGAGAGGCCCAAGCCTTCACTACCCAACACACCGCCTTATTTATGGGGGTTTACGTTTTGGGTTTTATGGTTTAGGGTTCAGGGTTTAAGGTTTAGGGTTTAGAGAATGGGGTTTGCGAAATTGGTCTTGGGTTTTGAAAAAGGGAATCTTACCATCTGGGGTCTATGTTAGGGATCCCCTATTTTCGTAAACCCTTAAATAGGGACCCTTAACATAGTCTCCCAAATCGCAGGATTCCCGTATAATAAGGACCTTGACTCTCATGGTTACTGCCAGTATTTCTTTGCCGTCATTCTTGTTTAACAGAGGGGAGGTGTCATATGCACCAGCTGTTAGAGGATGCTTTGTAGTCGTTGGCACCGAGTGTGTGCCATGACCGCTGGGCAATGGTCTGCAATGACGCAAATCAAGGAACAGCAGGAAAGCAGCGTCTTGGAAACCCAAACCAAGGGTATGCCGAGAGTTCGCCAGAACAAAGTCTCTCTCTCCCTCTCTCTCACTCTCTCTCTCCCTCTCTCTCACTATCTCTCTCTCTCTCTCTCTCTCTCTCTCTCTCTCTCTCTCCTGCAGAAGCGATAAACCACCAAGAGCCCAGCGCACCAGCACCCACGCGTCCTGGGGACGAGTGAGCAGGAAGAGGTCGCAACAGGAAAGAAGGCAAGGATCAAACCCAGCTTTTGTGGCCTCCACAGGCTTGAGCCAACACCTCAACAAATCTTCGAAGGGTGGCCTGCCTTGGCCTGCAGTAGATAGCCATGTCCCTTTTGGGGGCGGGGGGGGGCATGAATCAGGAACCCCACAAGCGAGGGGACGTTTCGTGTCGCGGGATGGCCAGGTTCAAATCGGCCGGATCCTTCTTCCCCTCGCGGTGCTGGGAGAAGACCCCGCTTCTGGCTCAGCATGAGTTTTTCACTCAGGTGGCTGAGTAGCTCGACGAAAGATGTTCTAAAAAGCCACAGGGCTGCAAACGACTAAATGAAGCTTGCCTCCTGCATGCCCCTACTTGAGAGGCAGCTCGATGCGTGCCTTTTGCCTACACCTCGGTGCACGCCCGGATTCTTCAGGCCGCAGCTGAGAGAGAACCAAACAAGGGGGGTGTCGGGAACAAAATGGAAACCAGGCTTGAAGGAGTGCGCTGTTTGGATTCCTTTTTCAAAAGGTGCCTTGGGATTGGAATGGTGGGGGGATGCCTTTTCGTGGTGTCTTCGGATGTCTGGGGATGGCTCCCTGAACCCTAAACCCTCAACCCTAAACCCTAAACCCTAAACCCTAAGCCCTAAGCCCTAAGCCCTAAACCCTAAACCCTGCTGCATGAAGCACATGGGTCATGGTCATGCGATGCTGAGTCCTCCCCAGTCCGTAAGTCGTCTTCTACATCCGAGCACTGCACTGAACGAAGTTGGGATCGATAGAGCCTCCATCATCTGCAGGAACACCTGCGTGTAAGCCTACCGACTGGGCAACAAGAACCCCCAAGCAAGCGCTAGACATCTAAAAGAGGTCATTGGGGTTGTAAAAAAAACCTAACACCCTAAACCCTAAACCCTAAACCCTAAACCCTAAACCCTAAACCCTAAGCCCTAAACCCTAAACCCTCAACTCAAACCCTAGTCTTCGGGGCAGGCCTTGGCCTCGGCCATTCGTGCCGACGAGCCTGTGCTGCTGGTGGGCGCGGGGCCCAAGGGCCCAAGGGCCCAAGGGTGGGATTTCCAAAAAAATTCACGTAGACCTGTTGATATATCCCTATCAGCTTACGCACTTGCCGAACCCCTGTTGTCAAACACCTTTTTGAGAGAAAATGTGTCGAAAACCCTCCAAAAACCCCAAAAATCAAGGTTTTTCCCCCCCCGCCCCCAAGGCCCTAAGGCCCGAAGACCCCAGGCCCGAAGGCCCCAAGGCCCGAAGGCCCCAAAAGCCCGAAGCCCCCATTGTAGCAGATGCAGTCGGATGTCAGTTTATGGTAGTTTCATGAGACTGATGCTCGAGGTGACACTGGTACTGGGAAGACCTCGGTTGTGCAGCACATCGGCCGGCTCTTGGGCCAAGAGGCCGCTGGGAGGGGCATGTGCAGTGATGTGAATGGAGCTGTGGGCTGATCTGGAGATCAGGTTCTCGTTTACAACTTCAATGAGCAGAGTGAATCCACCGAGCTCATCGGTGGCTTCCGACCAGTCGTGGAGCTCTCAGATCACGTTCGGGCATTTAGCGTGACCAAAGCTGCCGGCGTAGGATGTGCTACGAGCTGCCGAGGACAACGTGATGCAGCTCATGTCCGAGCTTGTCCTCGCACTCAGTGCGACACAGTCTTGCTTCTGCAAACCACGTCGTAACTTCACACCTCAAGTTCAAGATGTCAAAGATGCCCGTGGTCAGAAGTGCTCCAAGGTCGAGTTGTTTTGCTCCACCTTCGAGAAGTCCTTCTCGCGGCGGAAAAATGCGTGCATCCAACCTTCTATGGGAAGGAGGAGATTCTGGCACCCACTATGTCACTGTGTGATCCCTGAGGCCAGGCTCTTGGAGAAAGTCCGTGGAGACTTTTTGGGTCGACGATGGGTCGGAGCCTTGGTTCTTTCATGTCTTGTGATCTCTCAGGCGCAAGCTAGGCGACAAAGGCCCTCACATGCTCCGGAGGCTTCGGTGCTTCACGGCATCGCAAGCGTGATGTTGAAGGCGGTCGGGTAGTTGACTGGCATGCACGCTGATGCAAGTTGCGGTCACGTCGGTGCAAGGCCCAGCAGAATCTGAGCGATCCAGTGGGCGTCCTACTTGTTCCAAGCTGATCCAAGTTGTTCAAAAGGCGAAGGCTTTGACAGCAGTCAGACTTACGGGTTGGAGGTTCTCGTGGTGTCGGAGTTTCACGCAGAGGTGTTGTGCACCTTGTGGCCTGAGGTGACGCAAGCCTCCAAAGGTGTGAAGAGCACCCACCTTGCAGCCGAGCCTGCTTCCCAGGGTCTTAGAAGCATAACGCACACCTTGGGCCGTAGGATGCCGCATGGGACCATTGTGAGGTTTACCAGCATAGGGGACCCCTATACGGAGCCCCCAAAAAAAGGACCCGAATAAGGTGCCCCGGAATATCGCAAGTCCCCATGTGGGCCCATAGTTAAGCTCCTTCGGAGCTTCAGAGGTGGGAAGCTGTCCACACGTTGCACAAGAAAGCCTCATCAGCCCCGGCCTCTGTTTGGAAAGTTTGAATGCGCTGCCAAGAGCATTCCCTGCTGCATTGTTAATAGTGATATCTTTATATTGTCATACTCATATATGATTAGATTATTTCGTTAGTATATTCTTATATGAGACTTGATGAGTATGCTAGTATAGGAATTTATTAGTAGATTGTTAGATTTTCTTATATTGTAAAACTGTTATGCTGTTCTACTGTTGTCTTGTTGTATTGTCATAGTTTTACATTATTATCTCGGTTTTCTTAGGTGGCGGCGGCGGGCTCTGCCCCGCGCTTTGAGTTCAAAGAGGGCTTGCTGGTCCAGGCCGGAGCTCTTCTTCACTGGTTCCGGCCAGCTTAGTCTTGACATGGTTTAGGGTTTAGGGTTTAGGGCTTGCATCATTGTGGTCCTCGTGGCTCAGGCAAGCATGCACACATCCGCAAGCCCTCCACAAAGAACTGCAACAAAGCATGGGAGTTCAGACCTATCAGGGTATGGGATCACAGAGCATTTTCGCGGCTCCATCCTCTGACATGTAATGCTCGCAAGGCGACCAAGCAGCTTCCTGGCAGTTCTTGCCTGCTATGCTGTCTTTCCTCCCACATTTTTTGGGGAGGGCGTCCGCAGGGTCGGAGTGTCCCGCTTTGCGAAGGGCTTCGGCAACCTGGAGCCGACTGCCAAGACGGAAGAGCAGCAGTTTAAGACAAAGAAAGGGCTGAAAAGCACGAAAGCTGCAATCGCGTTCTTTGACAAAGCAAAGGAGTATCGAGATGCTGGCAACAATGCCAAGGCCGTGCAGATGTTCCGCAAGGCCCGCGTGGCCATTGCCAAAGCTGCGGGTAAGGGCTCCAAAGACTATGCTCGAGTTTGCAGCGACCTTGCAACTACTTACCTGGACCTCGACAAGCGGGACCGTGCAGAGGAGCTCTACCAAGAGTCTCGGAAAGCCTTTGAAGTGGCCGTCGGCCGAAACGATGGGGAGTATGCCGGCTGCCTTAGGAACTTGGCGCGGCTGAAGCGGGCTCTAGGTGACATTCAAGAGACGGAGGCCCTTTTGAAGGAGGCCTCGCACATCTATTCAGGCGATCTAAGCCGCTTTCACGAAGAGTATGCGCTGACGCTCAGGAGCTTAGCCAGCCTCTACCAGGAGCAAGGTAGGATGGAGCTTCTCCAGCCCATCTTGCTCCAAGAGCAGCGGGTCCGGACTTTGGCGGCCAGCCTTGGCGGTCGGCGCTAGCCCAGTGGGCCTTTCACATCACCCTGCAACCAATCTGCCAGTCCGCTAACGTGCTTGCGCATTGCCGCATGGCCGACAAGTTGACAGCAACGAGCTGGAAAAGAGATGTGCTTCTCTGCAACGGGCCCTGTGCGACATGACGCGCCACAAACAAGCATCGTGAGGCCTTGCGCAGCGGCGCATGGGTGGCGGCGAGCTCAGACGTGTTGATGTGCAGGACCGCGGGTTTTGCTGGAGCAGAGTGCCGAGGTGCTGGATGAGATCAACCTGGCCCCTTCAGATCTCCTTCAGCGAGTGCAGGGTCTCATAGAGCGTTCGCCTGGTGCCCAAGCCTGTGCCGGGTGTGCCGGGTGCGACTTGAAGTCGGGCAGAGCGCCTTGTGACTGAGGCCGGGATCCCACCTTGCTCTACCGGAGTCAGGTGACGAGCATGTAGTGTGCGATCCTAAAGCGGCGGGATGATGGTTCTGGTACTGCCCCAGAAGCATGGTGTTGACGTCACCTGTTCATACCACTGAGCCTTGTGAGTCCAGGCCGCATTCTGGGTTTCGGCTCTTCGCTTGCATGAACCCGCCTGGGGGCCCAGATCTGCCCAGTGAGAGAGGAAGCCAGTAGCAAAACATGTGGAAGCAGAACTTCCCCGACCTTGCTGACTTGGATCCGGCCAAGATGCCCCTCTGGCCCAACTTGAAACCCGGATTGGGGGCCCAAATCCCCCTTAAAATCTGCCAAGAAGTATGGCCTCGGCACCCATGGGGAGGGGGCAGCACTCAGCAAGGGCGACCAGAGGGCAACCAGGCTGATGTGGCGAGGGGACCAAAGCGAGGAGCGTAGCGTAGGAGGGTAGCGTAGGAGGGCGCATGCCGGGTGTTACGTCCCTCCGTGCTCGCGTCGCCTGCAGCCACCGGGGGGGGATGGCGCAGGGAAAGTAAGGCGCAAAGGCCGCACGTGAGATGCAGCATGCCGAAAGGGACCAGCCATCTTGGCACAGACCAGCGAGGATAAGGTGAGCTGGTGAGAAGCAGCTCAAGTACAAACAGAGTTTTCCGAACAGTAGACATTTCGAGCGTATCCAGAAACAGAAACAAACACTGCAAAAATATGGATATGGGGACTACTGAGAGCAGACAGAAGCTCGACACATGAAGGAGGAGGAGAGAAGCAAGTAAGAGAATCGGGAAAAAACAAGGAAGGCGACACAGGAACCACCACATGGAAAAGAACGAAAACCCACAGGGGAAGCTGTAGGCCTGCACCAAAGACCTTCAAAGAGCTGCATCATGAGAACGTGTTTGAAAGCATTCAGAACATGAAGATAAAATCAAGCCCTCTACACTCGGATTTAAGACAAGGAACACCTCCAGGGAGCAACGTTCGCATCATGGGAACACAGCCAGAAGAGTTTCTACACGCACATAGTCGGCCAGAACAGTATGAGGGTCCTGGGAGAAGGCCGCCTAGCAACGAAAAGAACCGAGTTCCAAGCAATGTGTTTTCGGCGCACTTTGTTTGGCTTCAGGCCTCGCCTGTCAACCCGACCAGTTTTCATAACTTCTCCAGTCGGCTTGAGAGCAGGTGTAGGGCATAGGTGAGCCGGCGCTGAGACTATGCCAGGCCACCTCCGGTCGAGGGTGAGGTCGGATGGCCATCGAATGGAAATCGGAGCGCCAGATGGCCAGAGCTTGCTGCGCAGGAAGACGCACCTCAGATGTCAAGGGCCGGGCATGCAGCTGGCAAGAAGGCGGTGGAAGCATCCACAGCATTCGCCGTTCCTTCCTAGGTGAGTTCATATGTCCTTCCAGGGGGGACGGTAGCTTTTAGAGGAGCTGCCGCCGGGCATCCGTGCGCGCTTTACTGAGATCTTCGTGGACGAGGTTGGGCTGCCGGGTTGGCCCACCAGGATGGTCGTGAAATGCTATGAAGCCCATTTGGACAGCTTGACTTTTGTTGTTTTCGAGCTTCTGTCTTCAGTGCCACTGCCGTTTTTGCTCCAGCAGCTTTGGCGCACTTTGATTCGCCACGCTGTGTAGAGCTCTGAAAGGCACGTTCAGGTTCACCTTACCGACGCTTGCAGATTCTCATGTCGCAGCTTGCCGCAGGCACGTGGCTCTTGACGGTCTCGCAATGTGCTGAACTGAGTGCCAACAAGCACTGTCCCATGTAACCCATGTAACCCACGTAAGTGTGACTTTGCTCAGAATTGCAGGTCCTCTACGACGTCTCCGAACTCCAACTCCAGCAGCCCGTCCAAGCGGCAACCACTTCAGGCTCACAACCTCAAATCCAAGGCCAGTGTTGCCAAAAAAGGTCTACACCCAAGCGTAAGTCTCTCTTCGCTTGCTCGAACTTGCTCTGGTCACATACCACGAGAGGTCTTCGTCGTTCCCACATGGTGCGACGTCTGCAAGGGTGTCCTGGTTCGCTGCTTATGCTTCACCAGGACAGCTGCCCGCGTGTGTAAAAATAGCTCGTTCGCTCAGGTTGGCCACGGCTTTCAGTGCGCAGGCGCTTGCCAGCTGAGGCTCGGGGTGTGAGCCATCAGAGGTGTCTCGCACATTCTTGCACCCTGCACATGTTTGCAGATTTCTTGATTGAGGTGTCATCGGGGACTTGGGGCAAACATGACCGAGAATTGCAAAGCTGATTTCATGTTGAAGCCCTGCAAGGATGCGTGGCCAGGGTTTCGCGATGCTCTGCGCATTGTTTCTTGCTGAGCGCAGAGCGCATCTGCACGTCCCAGGAGGCAGCTCATGTTCAGGGACAGCCTGGCCCTCAGAACTCTGCAAGTGCACCATGTGCCACTGCGCTCCAGCCCCTGCGTTGCTTGGTGCTCATGTCATCTTATGTCCTGAAACATAGTCGGTCCGCACGAGGTACCGGTTTGGGGACGTCACAAGACAGATCTTCCGGAATGAGCACCAGAGGACTCGACCTGTTGTCGCAGGACAGCGGCAATCATGCGGGGTTTTTTTGCTGCAGGATCAAGGATCTGGTGGTGAAAGAGATTGTGCCTCTACGCTGCAACTACTGCGATGGCGGCTATTGCTATGGGCCATGGAGTATCCTGGTCATGGTGCAAGGAAGGAGCAAGCAAGCTTCGGCAAGTTTGACAAGCTGCAAAGCTACTCAGAAGCCATCCAGGCCAGCGTCTCACGGACATGCAGCCGAAAGCAGAAGACTGCAGAATTGCAGGAATGGTGGGATGAAGATCTGGTGATTCGATACACGTCCAACTCTTAGTTCCACAAACTGCTTTAAAACCATGCCATCTACACAGCTTTGCACGTTACTCCAGGCCGTTCTCCCAACAAAGCCTTTGGTTATTCCGTTGCTAAGCCTTTCATCAGCGTTGAACTATGAACGCTTGCGCGCGCGCCGCCTCGGCTGTCGGGCTGGCCCAACGCAGCATCGGAACGGTCTAGGAGGGGTCAAGGGGTTTCAGACCAACCTGGGCCCTGGGGGGTTTCCAGGAGGGGGCGGGGGTCCCAGGAAGGGTCTGGGGGTGGTGAGATCGGGCTTTGTGGCGCGGATGAGTGTAGTTGCCCTGCTGCAGTTTCGAGTCATTGCGGATCTGAGACTCTCGGCCATACTGCTGAGTGAGCTAGCGCTGTTCATGATCAGCTACAGCGACTCGACAGCAAGAGCAGCAGCGAGCTTTCAGACACTCAAGGGCGCCGACCTTTGCTTGCAAGGTGTGGCCTTTCTTTGTGCCTGGCCCTTTCATGGTTGGTCGCTGGCAGTCCGTGTGGGCTGGCTGCAGGACTGGGTGTGGGGGGAAGGGGGGGGGGGAGGGGGAAGGTTTCCTAATGTTTCCTACCTAGTGTAGCTCCATCCATGATGAGACCCATCGCTCATTCGTTCCGCGAGGCCGTGTCCAACTTCACGTCGGCTGCCGTGTTCGAAGGATTGCTGCTGCTTCTCATACACATCATCGCCCAGCAGGCGTTTAGGGGATACGTGTTTAGGGTTTAGGGTTTAGGGTAAAGGAACTTTAGTAGGGTTTAGGGGTGGTGGTTTTCCTAGCTTGTGGTCTTCTTGCGGTGTTCAGCACATACCCGGACAGCTGCTGCTCTACTCCGAGCTCGTTCACAGCTTTGTGCGCGCTTTGCCTGCAACAGCTGCAAATGCCGCTGCCAGGAAATCGAGTTCTAGTTAGAGAGTGCCAGGTGATAAACATGTGTTCAGTGTAAATGCCACTGAGGTGAGATACTGCAAATAGACCTGAGCGAGCTACAGATAGACGTGCCAGAAGCCCAGGGGCAACGCAGTCATGCAATATCCACCCCACCAGATCCACCGAGGGGAGCCGCCGCTGATGCGATCACTGACGTGACCATCCGTGGCCTCCAGACGAGTATTTGCCTCGCTTGCCTCGGGGTTGCGATGTGGATGAGGCGGGGACCATTTGCGACACGTGCTTGTGGTAAACATGCTTTGTTTGTTTGAGCGAGGAGGTGCTCAGTCTCGTGTTTATACCTGGCCGGGTTGCAGGGCAGTGCAATTGGTCTACAGCGACATCCCTTCACCTGCCAACTGACGTTTTCTGGTTCTGGTTGTTGTGGAAGGGTACAGCTATCTTCGTCAAGTGCTTCGCAGAAACTTGCATTCACAAACTTCAATACTGACTACTGCTTTGAGCATTGGTGCAATGCTTGATGCTATTGGCAGCAAGCCTGCATGCAGCAGTCTCACAGTCGTTTTTCTGGAGTTCCGAGCGGAGTGTTCACCTCGTAGCACGATGTCTCCAAAGATTCTTGAGACAAGGCAGAAAGATTCCAAGCACCGGCTCCTGAAGAAAAAACAGTGCTCGCGAAACAGCCGGGGCGTGATGTTAGTCAAGGCACAGCGGCTCGTGAGTGAAGCCCAGTTTGTGACGCAGGTCCATACCACCGAAGACCTGGGTCTCATCGTTGGGAGCTCAGGAGTTATTGGCGGCATTCCGGTTGTTCGGCTCACAGTAGCGGGCCCTTTACCCTGCGGACCTTCTGTCTCCATTGCTAGATGCTGCTATCCCCCCGAAGCCCAGCACTGCGGCGCCCAAAGCCCAGCAAAGGTTCGCAGCTACTTGGAGGGCGACCTTCCGAACCCGCCAGTTGATGCGATTGTAGGCGTGTGACTTGTTCACTTGCAGTGCACCTTGTAACACAGCAAAAAGAACCGGGAGCAAGATCCAAAACCAGGAGCCCGTTGTAGGGTAGTCCTGGTGCAGGCTTCTACAGACAAGCGGGCTCACTGGCACGTGCGGTGGCTGAGGGTGTTGTAGGCTGCATGAATATGTGAGTTTTGCAAGTGGCATGAGAAGCCCAGCCGCCCTGATATTCTCAGGTCAGAATGCCCTTCTTGATGGAGCTGGGAGGGCACTTCTCCGAGTCTGCTTGGGGTCTGCTCGGAATTTGAGAAGTGGGGTTGTTGCACCCGAATGCGCTCTTTGTCCTAGAGTATAGGTATACGTAAATCAACTGACCGGCCCTGGGCTGTGATTGTCTCAGGTGTGCAACTTCTCACTGCGGAATCTGACTCGCTCCTTGCGTTTTGCGCTTCGGCTTGCCAAGCGACCGCCAGGATCACAGGTCACAGCACAGACACAGTGCAGGATGGGACCGGGGAGAAGGGAAGGATAGCGAAGGCTTGTGAATTCGGAGGACATGTGCCTTGTGGCCTGAGGCAACACGCGACTCCAGCCACGAAGGCTGGCTAAGTCTTGTTACCACAATGTTCCGGCGCATGGCCGCCTCTGGGGGTGGTAGGCGTAGCGATAGTGGGAGGGAGAGCACGCATCGGCATTCAAGTTTGGACAGGCCTTGGCGCAAGGCCTGGCCGTTGGTTTTGTGAGGGCCCAAAGAGCTTTCGATTTGGAGATCCAGGCGACGTGTCGAGGAATCTTGGGATGTACAACGCAGGCTTTACATTCCGTGCCCAGGCCACGACTCTGGACCTGCCGTCATCTAGGATTGTGGAAGACCACATCCAACAGGCCCGGTCCTTCCGGTTGTCCGTTCCACTTGCACTCTATAAGAAGCTTTTCAATAGGAGAAGCATTCGCCGTGTACCATGGCAGGCAGTGGGAGTGCCTCCAAGCGTGCAGACAGCTGCCTTGAAGGCGCCAGCCGTATGTGTAGCAGGCACATGCATGGCGGGCGATTCCTGGATCTTCAGGCAGGTGCCTCTTCGTCAAATGCTTCGGTGCAGATTGATCCAGACAAGGGCTGGATCAATGTGGAGGGCTACTGGATCAAGGCAAGAGGGATGTTCTGGGTTACTGCAAGCTCTCCCAAAGGCTTGTTTGATGTAATGTGGAGTTGACTGGACAAAGGCCGGGCCTCAGAAGATTGAAGTGGAAGGAGCGCACAGGGACTTTGTGATTACAAACTCCGTGCGCCGAAATCTTCAGAACATCTCTCGGATGCTTAGTGGTGGACGATTCCCGATACTCCTGGAAGGGCCGACTTCCGCGGGCAAGACCTCCCTGGTGAAGTTTCTGGCGCAGCTGACCGGCCATGAGTTCGTTCGCATCAACAACCATGAGCACACCGACCTCCAAGAGTACGTTGGCCAGTACGTGTGTGACCCGGAGACTGGCCAGCTGGTTTTCCAGGAGGGTGTGCTTGTGCGGGCTGCCAGGGCAGGTCACTGGGTGGTTCTGGATGAGCTCAACCTTGCGCCCAGTGAGGTTTTGGAAGCCCTGAATCGCCTCCTCGACGACAACCGCGAGCTCTACATCCCTGACACCGGGGCTACTGTGAAGCCGCATGAGGAGTTCATGGTCTTTGCAACACAGAACCCTGCGGGGGCCAACTATGGTGGCCGCAAGCTCCTGTCCCGTGCATTTCGCAACCGCTTCACAGAGGTCTTTGTGAGTGAGCTCCCGATGGAGGAGCTGGCAGTTGTCCTGCACAAGCGTTGCCAGGTGCCACCATCATATGTCAAGGTCATGCTGGCTGTGTACCAGGACCTCCAGTCACACAGAAACCAGTCGGCGGTTTTCCTGGGAAAGCAGAGCTTCATGACGGTGCGCGACTTGCTGCGATGGGGACACAGGAAGCCCAGCTCGTACTTGGAGCTGGCGACGGAGGGATTCACGCTGCTGGCAGAGAGGTTGCGAAAGGAGGAGGAGCGAGAGGTGGTTCGCAAGTCCTTGGAGAAACGATGCACCGGCGTGAAGGATCTGCATCTCGACTACAGCAAGGATGAGGTGGTCTGCACGGCGCGAGAGCGCGTGGCCCAGAAGCTCAAAGCGGGGCTCCAGGCGCCTGGAGGAGTCGGCCAGGTTGTGTGGACGCCAGCATTTTGCCGCATGGTTGCTTTGATTGGCCGTTGCATACGCTCTGGTGAACCTGCCCTTCTTGTGGGGGAAACGGGAGGTGGAAAGACCATGGCGTGTCAGTTGCTGTCCTGGGCCTTAGTTGAGGAGGATGTTTTGGATCGCCGGCTTCGCACTTTGAATTGTCACCAGCAGACAGAGACGTCCGACTTCATCGGTTCCCTTCGTCCAGTGCGTGGTCGGGATACGACGTTCAAGTCCATTTGCGCAGCAGCCTGCAAAATGCAAGAGATGCTGGCAAAATTCCGTGCTTCTCGAGTAGCTGACTCGGAGTGTCCGGAGTTCAGCAAGCTGCAAGGAGAGGTACGTTTGGCGGCAGCAGGGAAAGGCAATCCGAAGAACTTGGGCCAGGCCCTCCGTGCTGCAATTGCCGGCAACATCCTTGGCGAAGGGGATGAAGCCGAGGTAAAGAGAAGGCGGCGAGAGGCTGGAACTGCCAAGGGACCCGACGCATTGCTGCCGATGGCTCTCCACCTGGTCTCACTTTGTGGAGACTACGACCGGATCTTTGAGTGGGCCGATGGAGCCCTGGTGGAAGCCATGCGTGCTGGTGGGGCATTCCTCGTGGACGAGATCTCCTTGGCGGAAGACTCGGTTCTGGAGCGATTGAACTCGGTCTTGGAGCCTGAGCACTCCCTTCTCCTCGCAGAGAAGCCCTTGACAGGAGCCGACTTGGAGGTGGTCAAGGCGCGGCCCAGCTTCAGACTCTTTGCCACCATGAATCCGGGTGGTGATTTTGGAAAGCGAGAGCTGTCGCCAGCCCTCCGGAATCGATTTACCGAGATCTGGGTGGAGCCCATCGACTTCTCAACGAAGGAAGCAGAGGACCTGGTGGCCACGCAGCTGTCCTGGCCCCTGCTCGCACGACCCATGCTCGACTGCGTCAGCTGGTTCAACCAGCGCGTGCTGCACCCTCTGAGCATTCGCGAGGTCCTGGCTTGGGCTGCCTTTGTTCAGAGCACGGCACCGGCAAAAACGGTCAAACTCCCCGAGTCCAGCTTCGAACGGGCAGTGGAGATGTACATGCATGGTGGTTGCATGACTCTGGTGGACAGCCTTGGTTTGGGCAATCAGCTTGTCGACACCGAGTGCGTGGCCTTGTATCAGAAGTCCGCTGACGAGACATGCAGCATGAATTCTGGTGGGCTGTCGGTCGCACAGCGGGCAATCCTGTGGAACCTACTTGGCCAGCTGGACAGGTCCGGTCTCTTCAAGGACTCGCTGCAACTCAGCTGTCAGGCCATCTCGGATGCGGTGCTCTTTGGTGCTATCTAATTGCCACTGCAGGACCTGTCGAGCAAAGGCCGTGAAGCTGTCCAAGCAAGTTTCAGCCAGGGCGGCTTTGCATGGGTGTGACGCTCAGCTGACTTCTCTTGAGCTTGGTGCGTTGTCCGTTATGTTGGCATTCTTCTCAAGCAGGCCCTCGCAAGGCTTCAAGATTGCATTCAGGAAGCTGAAGTCGAAATCGCCAAAACGAAGCAGCCGCGAACCATCTATACTAGCTGCAAGCACACGGCATAGCCGTGACGAGTGCGAAAGACCCGCCGTGGAAAGTCGGCAGGCGGTGCGCACGAGCTTAGCCCACAGTACAATGGGAAGCCGTGCTAGTGGAAGGGGGCGGCGAGGGATGTTCGTGAGGACCAGGCATGACGCAGCACAATGGACGGCGGCTGAAACTGACAGAACTTATGACTAGGAAAGATGCCTGGTTTGTCAACCGCTGTCCGTTTCGCTCGTTTCTTGCTTGGTGCAGAGGTTCGCAACCGAAGTTCTGCATCAGAGGTCCGGAGGGTGCACGCATCTTTTTGCGCTACGTACTTTTTGTCTCTCTACAAGTGGTATGATGTGCACATGAGAAGCTCAGAGACAGACAGTGCCTTAAGCAAGCTAGAGCAGGAAGTGCAGTGCTTGTGCAAGGATACTGGGCTTCTAAATTGTTCGCATTCTTTAAGAGTCTCAGTCTCAGGGTACAATAGGCACAGCTGCCCAAGGAAGACAGGGCACTGGTCCACTTGACATGGCCTTAGTTGCTGTTTTAGAAGCTGCTTTGCTTACCTGGTCAGGGTGATGTCCTCAACTTCGGCGGCTTCAAGATTTCAGCTTCTTGCATGCGATCTTGCGGGAATGTGGGACGCTTTGACACTACTGGCAGATGCCTTTTCTCCGTTGCGCCGAGGTTGCTTCCCAAGCGGGAGAGGAGGCCATGCAAGGCTGACCGCCCATGCTTTGCCTCTTCGGGTGGCATTTGGGGAGATTCTTCTTTGTGTGTTTATGGATTGGAGATGACAGATACCTCTGACTTTGACTTCAACGCACCTTCTTCGGCCTGCAACGTGGGCCCAGCGCTTGGTTCCTCCGCAAGACTTGATGGTGCCTGTGCTGGCTTTCCTAGCCAGACTTGGCAGTGCGGGGTGCCTCGAAACCCTCCAAAAGGCCGCAGAGCGGTGCCACGTTGCCCTCGTCCATCCAGCCTTTGAGCTCAAAGCCGGCAGTCCACATGTCCAAGCTGAAGCAAGAGCTCTTCGAGTCGCGCGGTAGCGCCAGCACAGACGGTTTCAGAGAGGGTTCAGGGAGGGTTCCCAGGGAGGGTTCAGGGAGGCTTCTCTGGGAGTATATTGTTGGAGTCAGCAATGCGCTCCCGCCTCTTGCTTCCCTTCTTGGCCGCTGCTGTGCTGACCTCTGGCCTCACACGGCTCTCCGGGCTGACATTCTTCGGGCGCAGCAGCCAGAGCTCGGGTGCAGTGGAGGCCTTTCTGGAGGATCTCCGGGCCCTTGGTGCTGCCGGACAGGAAGCGCAGCTCATTTTCAGTTTCGCAACTCACGTGATCGATATGTAGGTAGGGGTAGTTTTCTGGGGCCGTTTGCTGCGGCAAGAGGCTCATGGTGTTTGTGCAATGGTGGACTTCAGTGACATCCAAGATGTGGCTAAGGTGTCAAAAGAAGTCACTCACAACTTTAACTCCATTACCCCTATAAGACACAAAGCAAGACACACCAACCACAGTATCTCGGCATACCTCGCCAGTTCCAAGAAATCTTCCTCTGAAGGGGCGGGTTTTTGTCTGCTGGAGGTTCGAAGTCCTGGCCTTGAACTTCATCCTAAACCCAAAACCCTAAACCCCAACCCTCCTAACCCTGAACCCTAAACCCTCATACCCCTGAACCCTCATACCCCTGAACCCTAAACCCTCATACCCCTAAACCCCAAACCCTAAACCCCCCCCAACCCTCCCTAAAGAGCCACGCCATCTTTCAGCTCCAGGATGCGGCGCTGACGGCCTCGGCTTTGCTCGAGGGCCTGAAAGATTCCCACCTCTTGGCGGACAGCAGCTACGATGCGCGCCGGCGAGTTGCAAAGTTCAAGATCGCAGGGGGCGGAGCCGCAGGAGAGTTCTTCCCAGATCTCCGGATTTGGCTCGAGATGCAGCTGGACAAGAACTTGAGAATCAGCTGGGAGAAGACCCGAGCAGGGGCCGTCGTCCTCCACTTCTCCGGCCTCTCGTTTGCACCGCTCCCGGGTGCACAAGAGCTTTACGTGAAGGCTGGCTTGGATGCCGTCACCTGCCCTTCCCTGAAGTCCGTGAGCCAGGAGGAGTACTACCAGTGCCATCTCAAAAAGGCCGGGCGGAAGTGTTGGCCCTTCACTGCAACGCTGTTTTTGATTCCCTGCGACTAAGGCCCTCCTGATGGAAGACTTCTGGAAGGCAAACCGAGCTCCTTGGCAGCCTTGGCGGCTGAGCCTTGCTGCAAGTGACTTGCATCTTCGGTGTCTTAAGCCATGCAGCTTCCCGCGGACGCTGTGCTGAGACCCTGATCCCGAAGAACCTGCAGCACCAGTTCGCCTTCATCGGCGACAACACCATCATCTCCCACCTTTCCGAGCAGCTGGGCCATGGGCTCCTTGGATCTGCTTGGCACTTCTGGGTTTTGGAAGCCCTGCCCTGCAGCAGCCTTGCATGAAGAGCCACGCCTGGGACCTAGGGTTAAGGGTTTAAGGGTTTAAGGGTTTAAGGGTTTAAGGGTTTAAGGGTTTAAGGGTTTGAGGGTTTGAGGGTTTAAGGGTTAAGGGTTGAGGGTTTAGGGTGTTGTGCCAGGTTCGGCTGGTCCATGCTCCTGGTCTTGTCAGCGCCGCCCTCGGTGGTGGACACGCTGGAGTTTTCGGACAATGGCGTGCGAGGCAGCGATATCACATAATATGTATATATGTAAACAGCTTCCTATACTGTATTATAGATACCAGTATAATATATAGTATATATAATATAGTATTTCATATAAAGTATTCTCTCCAAGTGAGTCTGCAAGACAGCTGACACGCCTGGAATCGGACAGGAACCTCTGTGCATGACAAGAACCAAGAGCCTTGGATGCAGAAAGGGCATGCGCCGTGCCAGAACATGTATCCCCTAAATGCTCGTGAAGGCCCTGAAGTGCTTCTTCTCTCCTCCTTTCTCTCCTTTCCTCTCTCCTTTCCTCTCTCCTTCCTTCTCTCCTTCCTTCTCTCCTTCCTTCTCTCCTTCCTTCTCTCCTTCCTTCTCTCTTTCGTTTCTCTTTGTTCAAGCACGTGGTTGTTTTCTTTTATGTCGGAGGCCGGGGCCAAGCTCTCGGCGAAGCATGGCTTCAAGGACCTGAGCAGCTTGAGTTCAAAGGAGCCCCCCCTCCTCCTCATGTCGAAGATTGCATACATACAAGTTTACATATACATATATACATATACATGTATAAATTAAATTAAATTAAATTAAAGAAATAAATATACACATATATATATATATATGTTTGTATATATCTCTGCATAGATGGTGTGCTTTTCATATTTCTTCATACATGTTTTATATCATGCGACATGGAAGCACATCATGTTAGAGTTTTTTGTATTGCATTGTGTCGTGGTGTATTGTATTGTTTTGTGTTGCATTGCGTTGTATTGTATATCTACATATAATATACATATACATATATACATATGTGAAATATATGTTTGACATGTTACAGCATGTTAAACGGTATGAACTGGATAATATTTATGGTAGAGACTATGACATGAGACAAAATCGATGTTTTTATCTAACGCATTACACAATACAATGAATGTGGTATATTACTAGTTGGTAAAGTTACCTCACCTCACCCGTTGAGAACATGCATGCTGCACCCAGAAAATTCATGCTGGTTTCTCTGAAGCCACTGCGAAGTATGTAATGCTATAGAACAACCCAGGCTCGTGGTTCAGGCCACTTCGTAAGGGCAACACTTATCCCGAGTCTCGACACAAACTACTCCCACTTCTGAGGGTGGCGCGGAACAACTCGCACCCCGCGTTTTCAAGCAGCCGCATTCAGGTTGCTGGTTGTGCTGGTCTGTGGGATTCTGTGAGTACGTGAGTCTGCTTTGCATCAAACAGTGTGACCGAAATGGTTTTGACAAGGAAATGTAGACTCTCACAAATGTGATGTTCCAGAGATTCACAATCTAACGCCGGATGGAGGACCTTTCCCTGCTCTAATGTGTGTATGTTGTTTATAATGTATTGTGTTCTATCACCTACATGTTCCTAGATTATTATAAACATACCAGATGGTCTTATACAGATGTGTATGAAACATATATATATATATATATGTATGTATACATATATACATATATCGATGTTATGTAATCTATCTCGTGTTTTGGTATAATTTACACGTAGCATTGATTGCATGTGCACATGTACATGCTGACATATACGTACATTTGTCCATCTATATATATATATACACATATTCTTTAATATAATTTAGAACATTTACAAGAACACAATGCGTGATTTTGACGCTACGCGACCCGGCTTGGGCCAAAAAGCAGCCGCAGCGAGTCGGCGAGTTTTTGTTTTCCAGTCGCGGGGAAGCAAGTTCGGCAGAGCAGGGAAGAAGGACAACCTGGGCGCACATACGAAGTGCCAACGGCCCTTCAGAAAAGCGCTGGCAGTTGGAGGTTGGGGACGCCGGGAAGGACCACATGAAGGGTCGCAAATCACGAGAAGGTGGCTAGGGGAGGGATTCGAGGTGGGGTGCCTGCTTGATGCTGTTCAGACACCTGCGGCCCGGGGCCTCGGCGGATTTCTCGTGCATTAAACCCTGAACCCGAAGCCCTAAAACCCCAACTAACCCTAAACCCGAAACCCTAAACCCTAAACCCCCCCCAAAGCCCTATTGGGGCACTCCGAGGCCTCAACATTGCCCGGCCGCTGGTGGGCGACACGCGCTTCGGGGGCCTGGTGCGCTCCGTGGGTGAGCGGCGCCTGGGCCGAAAGCAAAGCTGTTGAGGGTTTAGGGTTACGGGTTTCGGGTTTAGGGTTTAGGGTTTAGGGTTTAGGGAGGGTTTAGGTATATATATATATATGTATATATATATATATACATATGTATGTGTATGTATCTACGTATGTATGTACGTATGTAGGTAACGTATAATATGTATCTTCTGCTATATAACATACAACATAGTAGATGAAAAGTAAACACTGGAGCTCGGAGTGCGTTCCTTGCTTAAGGATCATGCCGGTGGCCTGCAACTTCGGCCTCTGGGCTGCAACATATGGGGCCTCTGAGCTGCGGGTTTAGGGTTTAGGGTTTAGGGTTTAGGGTTTAGGGTTTAGGGTTTAGGGTGTCGAAAGCCCGGCTTTTGGTCCCCCTGGAGACGAGGCATCCTCTGCTCGGTCGGCGAGCCCCGATGGCGCTCGAAGGGAATCCGAGGACGGCTCTGCGCCTTTTCCTGCGCGTTTCATGGGTTCACATTGGGTTTTTTTGATGGTCACAGTGACTTCACTCCTATCCTACTCCTTCAACTGGGCTCGGGGAGCAGGAGCCGATCCGAAAGTGGTCGCGAGCATGTTCCGCCGCAAGGGCTCCAAGGGCCCTCACGGCGAGGAGAGGCATCTGCATTCCACCTGGATCAGATCAGAGGGGGCTGCATCTGCAAATCATGGTTCGCAGTTCAGTCTTGGTGACTGCTACAGTGCTAAGGGCTTTTGCAAGCCGATTCGAAGACATGTAGATGCACCTTGCCATGCGAAGGAGGGCTGCCTGACGTGGAAGAAGAAGAGGCGGAGATGAGACGGAGATGAGGAATGCGATTCGCAGCCTTTCTCCTTTTTCTTGACCCGGGTTTCTCAACTTCATGCTTGGCATGATGCTCGATCCACCGGGTTCACCATAAAGATTTTTTGAGCTGGTGATGCTTCTTGCTGCTCCTGAGGGGCAGCTGTTATGAATACTGCACAGTGCCGACGGCTTGTAGTTGCAGAGTACCCTGCACTAAGACAAGGAGTGCAGTAGCTGAGGGCCTCCCTCGCCCGACATGGTGCACAGACCGCGCTGGAAAAAACACAAACATCACACGTGTTGCATGGGCAAGAAGATTAGTCTGGCAAGTTTTTCTTGCACTTCTGCATCCTTGCGCAGAGACCTCCGTGATTGTAATGTGTCATGAATCATGAACCATTGCACTCTGGCCTGCTTCCTGGTGTTCACTGGTGCTGAGGGCGGCTTGTGCGCGCGCTGCAGCAGCCGAAGGCGATATTGCTGGAAGGCTCTCGGATCCTACGGTTTTGGGGCTGCGGGCTGCCTTCACAGGCTTTCATGGCAACATTTGTGAAACGAAGGCCCGCCGGGGCTTGGAAAGACAGCCACAGTGCAAGCGCTTGCAAGAGCCACGAAGCGTCGCCTGCGTGGGCCTGAGAATTGGAGAGCCGGTGTCAAAATCACACGTCTGAACGTAGTGTACTGGTGTAGCGTAGCTGTGACAGAACTGGATGGGCTGTATGGGACCGCAAGCAGTGTGCAGAAAGCAAGTTTATTTGGGTGTTGCGAAGGTTGCGGATCAACCTGTCAGAGCAAACCGATCTGTCCACAGCTTAGCCGTGCACCTTGAGATGAAGGGCAAGGCGCTTTGTAGGCGGCCATGGAGCAAAAGGCAAAGGCAGAGCCTAATGCCCCCTATGGGCTTCTTCTTTCTCAGGCTGGACCTTCTGGGCTCTGACTTGCCAATGCCTGGGAGCGAGGCCAGGACCTCATTCCCAATACAAACCTCTCCTGGGGGTTAGCAGCTTTAGAGAACGTCGAGGTGGCAGCCTTCCGCTGGAGTGACGGGGCGCTCCTACGAGCTCTCAAAAGGGGAGCCGGCCTCTCAGACGCCAAAACCTTCCACTCTTAGTTCTCACACGTTCTCGTTGCGATGTGCCTCGCCCTAGCGCGGCGCATGAGTACCACCAGACAGTGAGATGCAACATGCTGCATCTGCATCCTACATCCTATTCTCAGCAAAAGCCGGAGCTGGATTCCGCAGCACCCCAGGATTGGGTACTGCTTGATGAGATCAACTTGGCGCCGCAGGAGGGCCTGAAGTTTCCAGGGCTCCGTAAGTTTAGCAAAGCCTTCAAGATCTCCCACCTTGCGAGCTATCTCTGGAGATCTCTGGAGGCCACCTTGGAGGGACTAAACGCCTTGCTGGACCACCGCCGAGAGGCCTTCTGGAATCGGGGATGCAACCGTGGCTGCTGTAGATTCCTGATGCTCGCAGCACTGTAGCACGTGCAAATTCTGTTGCATCATTGCTGTGTGACGTGTGGTGCCGCATGTTGAAACAGGTCTTCTTGCCAGCAATTGGCCAGACCGTCTCTGCCCATCCCGGATTCAGGCTGCGAGGGGTATGTCAGGTACACATGCTGCCATGCTGCATCCCCGGTACTAGACGACTGATATCGATTGATTGCACAGAACGCACGCAGGCTTTTTGCAGCGCAGAATCCCGTCGCCACGGGAGGTTTCTTCGTGCATGCTTTAAACTGATCTGTGCTTTGCCTGCCTGGTTGTGAACACCGCTGCGTGCTCCTCAGCAGGATTGCACAACTCATGAAATGTGTGACTGCCAGGTGGACGTAAGGGGCTCCCCCGCTCCTTTCTGAACCGCTTCACCCGCGTGGTGCTCTCTCAGCTGCCATCGACCCAGTGCCTCTCAGCGCCTCTTGTCGCTAGGGCCGCTAGGGTTGAAGAATGCATCGCGCAGGTCTGCCCAAGACCTGCGCCACATCTGCCTTTGCCCTGGGATCCCTTTATTTGGGGCCCTGGGTTGCTTGCATGCAGCCGCTTTGAGGCCGCCACGCCCATGGCAGCGCCCTGGGAGATGAGGTTGTAGACCGGGCGGTCCTCCCTTGCAGTCTTACTGGGGACATTGGGGACCATTGAGGCCGTTCGAAACCTTTGGGGGACCATGCAGAACCCTTCCAAAAACCTTGGGGGGCGATTGGGGACCCTTGACAGCGGCACTGTTGCAGCACGGTGCGGCAATGGCAGGTGCGATTGGTGGAGGAGCTCCAGCTAGCATCACGGGGCGCCAGCGAAGAAGGCCCGGCTCTGATTCCGGGAGGTGTCAGCTTGTGCCCCCATTTTCTCCAGGTGGCGCACCCTTCGAAGCGCACCTGGACTTTGCTCCTTGGCTATGCCTATAGGCCCTAGGAGCAAAGTGAGAGATGAATGGCCCCGGCGATGAAGAGGACTGGAACTTGCGTGATGCACTTCGCTTCTGTGAGCTTTTGCGGGCCAAAGACTGAGACGTGAGCTCCTAGCCGGCATTGTTGCTATCGCGCGCCTCCCAATGCGTCGAGGCAAATGTGCCTTTGGCACACCACTGCCGGGCATCGGCGGAACTCCTGTTTGCTACGATCTCGGCAAACACGATGCAGTTGAGGCTTGCGACTGTAGCTTCTGACGGAGGTTTCCCGCCTTCGCTGTCAGACAGATCGTGATGTAACACGGCGCGTGATCTCAAGGCCAAGATGGGTAGAAACACCATAGCCGCTGAGTGTGGTGGTTTGCGGCAGGATTTTCCCACACGCAGCAAGCGTGGGTGTTGCAGGAAGCAAGGCTGGAACACGTGCACCGAAACCTCAGGGCACGAGTTTGTAGCTCTTAAGCTTGCAGGCCTTCCCGGCAGCTGTCCTGCTTCGCAGCAGCTGCGGATTTGGCGGGATCGAGGAGGTCCTCCATGCCTGGCATCAGCGCATGAGTGTAACCGGTCTTTGGAGAAGGCATCGTGCGAGCCATGCGACTCCAGATCGGGTGTGGGCGTCGACCTCAACTGCTCAATTCTTAGATGTCATTAACTCGTTAACATCAGCATGATGACCCGGGGGGGGGGGTTCTGGGGGTGTTGACCCAAAAGGCCACGAAACCCCGGTTCTGTGTCTGCTCCTTATTGGCGTGTCGGAGTCGTCATGGTGTCATTGCAAATGCGTGGGCCTGTTGGACCGATGCCCCCTGGAGGCCTCGGGTCTCACAGTCTGCAAGCTCAGCCGCAAGGGTTACAGGCGGTGGCCCCAGAGGTTTTAGCCAGAGATGTCATAGGCACATCATCGCCTCTCCCTTGTGGTGATGTTTGTGGTGTCTGCAGCAGCAGGAACCCGGCTCAAGGCCTCCTGGCTCCACTCCTACAGAAAAGAGGGGGGCCTTTGATGGGGACTGCACTCCCCATGCTGATTTCTGTCGACGTCGCCCTGCTCAGCGGCCGCAGAGCTCGAATACTCATCGAGCCGGACAACAGCGTTAACCAGTTGAGGCTGACAGCTCAAAAGGAGCTGGAGACAGATATCAGCCAGCTTTTCTCCAAGACGGGACAACTCTTGCTCGGAAGGCTATCGCTTCACGAGGCAGAAGTTCTGCACGGGGAGACGGTGACAGCGGCCCTGCGGCCTACAGCGGTGACGTCCTCGTGGGAATCCCTCTTGAGTGCTGGAGATGCCTGGCCCCTTGCATCCTCCTGGGCTACGGATGCCTTTGCGGCAATCCGACCCGATGGCTTGGTTGTCACCTGGGGCTATGCCTTCTCAGGCGGTGACAGCCGTGGTGTGCAAGAGCAGCTTCGTGACGTCCACAAGATCTGCGCATGCAAAGGCTCCTTCGCTGCCATTCGGACCGATGGCACCGTGGTCACCTGGGGTCACGAGGCCTCGGGAGGCGACAGCAGCCTCGTGAAGGACCAGCTGCAGGGCGTGGTGGACATCCGGGCTTCCCGAAGCGCCTTTGCAGCGATCCGGGCCGATGGGACGGTGATTGCCTGGGGCTACGGAGACCAGTGTGGTGACAGCACAGAGGTCCAGGAGCAACTGAAGAACGTCCGGGAGGTTCGCGCCTCGGCAGGGGCATTTGCCGCCATCCGAAAGACTGGCTCCGTAGTGACTTGGGGAGACTCCTGCTATGGTGGAGACAGCCACAAAGTTCAAGGGCTGTTGAAAAATGTCACAGACATACGCGCGACGCTGGCCTCCTTTGCTGCGCTGCGAACAGACCAAACTGTCGTGACGTGGGGTGATGTCCGCTTCGGCGGTGATAGTAGTGCAGTCCGCAAGCAGCTCAAGAATGTATATTTGATTCGGGCTTCCGCTGGGGCCTTTGCCGCACTTCGGACGGATGGCACCGTCATATCCTGGGGTGATGCCCAAGATGGAGGTGACGACAGTGCTGTCCGAAAGCAACTGCACGGAGTGCAGGATGTCCGAGCTTCATCATGTGCATTTGCGGCAATGCGGTCAGACGGAAGCGTCGTAGCCTGGGGTGATGCACGTGGAGGCGGCGACTGCAGCTCTGTCCAACATCAACTCATGGGCGTGCGCGATGTCCAAGCTGCTTCTGATGCCTTTGCCGCTATATTGGCAGATGGCACCGTGGTGACGTGGGGCGATCCGCATAGAGGTGGGGACAGCAGTGAAGTACGCGAGCAGCTGAGGGACGTGCTTGAAGTTCATGCTTCGGCGGATGCCTTTGCAGCACTCCGAGCCGACGGCACAGTTGTTTGCTGGGGAGATGTCCGCTTTGGGGGTGATAGCAAGAGCATCCAGGAGCATCTCGTTGGCATCAAAGATGTGAAAGCCTCTGGTGGTGCTTTTGCAGCGATCCAAGCTGATGGCACCATCATTACTTGGGGCGAAGCATCGTGCGGCGGAGATAGCCTGGCTGTCAAAGAACAGCTAAAGTCAGCCCGGCTCAGCTAAGCTTTTGAAGTGTTTTAGCCAGGTTTCAGCATTTTTCGACGAAAGCCGTCATTGTGCATAGTAGAATGCGAAGAACGTCGTAGGACGTCGTCGAACATCGTCGAACATCGTAGAACGTAGAACCTCGTAGAACTTATACACTTATGACTTCGGTCTGTCATCCGCTGCACCCTTCAGGGGGGTCAGTGGGAATAAGAGCCCAGTCTACGCCTGCGAAAAGACCAGCAGTGTGTGTGTGTGTGCGCGTGCGCGCATGTGTGTGTGTGTGTGTGTCCGCCAAGTACTCGTTTTCCTTCTAGAAGTAGTTTCCAGAGGCGGGTTTTCAAAGGTGGAAGTGTATTGTCCGAGGTTGGATCGGCACTTCTCCGCCAACCTCTCCAAGCCGCCGACGTGCGAGGCCCTACCAAAATCCTTCTGAGTTCGATATCTGATCATACTAGCAACCTATACAATAATAAGAATACTAATAGTATATGGTTCTATTAGTATATTAATATCTTTTAATAGGACTATATGGCCTACTCACAATGCGACGTGCCGGTCTTTGCATGGCACAAGCATCCCGGCGCCAGGGTTCGGTGCGTCTGAGCACCTCCGCCATGTGCCCCATCTCACAGCCTTGGCAGGAGAGCAGCTTAGAAACAGTGTGGATGTGGGGCGGATCCTGGCCTTAATCCAGAATTCTGCGGGTTTGGCGCTGGTTTTCTCAACAAGGTCAGCGAGATGTTCTTCATGCCATGGCGCATGCAGTCTCTAACGAGCTGAAGTGGCCGCCACCTTAGTAGTCACGTGGCCGGAGGCTCTGTCTAGCTGCAGCATGCGAGGGCGACATATGTATGTGTATGTGTATATATATATATGGATATGAATGTATGTCTGTAGTATACATTCTTGATATCTCAAGGCTACACCATGCCGATTCGGTGACACGAAGGAAGGTAGCAAGGGGGCCACCTGCAAACTCTTAAAGAGCGAACGGAAGCAGCACATGACAGCACGCGATCTCAGCTTGCACGGCTGAACTCTGGCAATGGCCGACGACTCCGATGAAGCCGGAAGAGGAGCCAAGCGCCGCCGCAACGATGCCAAGGACAACTCTGCCAGTTTGTCACGGGCAAGTGAAGTGCGCACTGCGACGTCGTGCATGTCGGGGTCTGTCAGGATGTTTGGGGAAACATCAGCACGCTGCTCGAGGGCCTCTAAGCTGCAACATGACCATCCCGATACCTTCTGCAGTTTTCGGCAAAAAATGTCGAAGCCCACGATGCCAACCTAGAGAAGATGTCATGTTGTAATTGCATTATTATTGTCTACATTTTTTACACTAAGTCTATTATGATGTAGTATATTAGTATATAAGTACATATTATTTTATGATTGTAGTAGTATTGTTGTATGGCTGTATTGTGATGTTGTTATATTGCTATATTCTAATATTTGTATGTGTTATATTGTCAGATTCTGAAATCTGTATATATATATATTTATGTTACATCCTATTTTTATTAACATACTATTTCAGTAGTATACTGTTATATTATTGTATGATTCTGTATGATTTTCATGCCATATTAGTATATAAGTTTATTCGCATGGTATTATATGAAGACATGGTTATCATTATGTTAAAGTATTACTATACTTGTATTGTTACATGATTTCTTCAGTCTATACATATATATATATATGTTATATGTTTCTAATATTAGTATACTGTATTAGTTTATTATCATAGTAGTATATTAGTATATCCTCATGTTTTTTTTTATCTTGTACTATTATATGATTATCGTATCACATTTTTGTATAATTCTTGTATAGCAAGAAGCACGCGTGATGCCCATGCCGAGGCACTTCAGTGGTCAAGCTCTTCTGCCGGGAGCTGAAGCCGAGTCTTGGACTGGAGCTCTGATGTGGGCGGTTTAGGGTTTGGGGTTTGGGGTTTAGGGTTTAGGGGTTCGGGTTTCGGGTTTAGGATTTAGGGTTTATCCTACGATTTGCGGTCGATTTCGGGGTGCCCTATTTTGGTAAACCCGCATATCGTGTACCCCAGTACACGTTGCGATGTTCCCCCTTGTACTGACAGTTCCTTAATAGGGATTATTGTAGGGATTATGATAGGGGGGGTACGATAATTCCTCGTAAGGACTGTAAAGTATACCTTACATGCCTTTCTGGCCTTGGCCAGGAACTACTCCATGCCTTGGACAACGAAAAGGCCCGTCCAGACTTGACACGCTCGCTCATTTCAACGTGTCCAAAACGTGCGCACAACGCAAAGCAACGCTGACACGGATCTTTTAGATGGTTTGAATCGTCAGGCGCCGTGACACGCACCACAAATGGGTAGGGCGCGAGGGCGTGCACTTCCACCGAATGGGTGGCGTGGGTAGGTGTGAATACTGGAGCGAGTTCAACAGCTGGACCTCTGATCCACTCACAACTGCGGTAACTGCGGTGACTGCAGCATTCGCTCACATGTCACTGCGTGCACGCGTGCACTTCATAATAATGTTGCCTCTGCCCAGCTGCGAGGCAACAATCGTCCACTTCCACTGCCTTTGTGTTGTGCCTGGAAGAGCGACTGCTGCTGACCAATCGGCATTGCGTGGCCCACGCCAGCTGCATCGCCACTCGACAGCAGACTATGCGCTCGTTTGCTGATTTTCTGCGGGTGTGTTTGAAGCCGCACGCCGGGTCTCGCACAGGAGTGTGTCTGCTTTTTGCCCCAAGTCTTGAATTCCCCTCAAGGAAGTGCGCAAGCGTGGAGACGACCAGAAGTACGAGGCGGAGGTCCTTGCCCGGGCGACGGACTGTGACCTGGCCTTGCTCACGGTGCGAGAGCCCATGTTTTGGGAGGGCGCCACCGCGCAGAAGCTCTGCAACGATGTCCCGGCACTGTTCTCCGAAGTGGTCTGTGTTGGATACCCGACTGGGGGGGACAACCTCTCTGTGACCAAAGGTGTCGTGAGTCGGGTGGACTACGAGGACAACCCAGATCCTTGGAGGAACCGCTTGGTCATCCAAATCGACGCTGCAGTCAACCCTGGCAACTCTGGAGGGCCTGCCCTGGTGGTTGGGGGGAGCTGTGTGGGTGTGGCTTACGAGTCCTTGAAAGATGGGTCCACGGAAAACATCGGCTTTATTATACCTGTCAGTGTGGTGCAGAAGTTCCTGACAGCTTGGCGGAGGCAAAAAGGGGACGCCGCCACTGAGGTATCAGATGGTCTGTCGGAGGACCACGTGCCCATCCGGGTGACGGCGTTTGGACATGGACGTTTCTCAGCTCAAAAGCTTGAGAACGCCGGCATGCGGCGTGCCCTTGGCTTGGCAAGCGGTCAAAGCGGGGTCATCGTGAAGTCTGTGGATCCGACAACGGCAAATGCCAAGGTCCTGCAGAAGGGCGACGTTCTTCTTTCGCTCATCGGCGTGTCGGTCGGCAACGACGGTTGCGTGCCCTTTGTTTGCGGGTCTTCTCGCCATGATCGTGTTCCTTTTCCGTACGTTGCCATCGAAAAGTTTGTCGGTGAAGAGCTTGACGTAGAGATCATGCGTGACGGCAGGAGGCTTTCCATCACATTGCAGCTCTGCCCGCAGGAGCCTCTGGTATCAGTAGAAAAGGAGGCTCCCTGGTTGCTTGACTACTGCATCATCGGCGGCCTTGTCTTCGTGGTCTTGTCCCAGCAGTATTTGCGGGCGACCTTCGGTGACAAGTGGCGCAAAGAGCGCTGCAACGGACTCTCCGAGGTCATGGATTCCCGGGAACGCGAGTTCCCAGATGAACAGGTGGTTGTCCTGTCCTACGTGCTTGCGCACACGGTCAACCTGGGTTTCCAGGACGTTCGAAACGCCCGCCTCAAGTCATTTGCTGTGGAGGGCGTCCCTGTGCGAATCCGGAACCTTGCACACTTATCACATCTTGTCCAGGCTTCCAAAGAGGAGTTCCTGCGATTTGAGCTTTACGGCCGGGGCTCCGGCTTTCTTCCCGATATCATCGTCTTGGAGCGCGCGGCAGTTCAAGCTTGCGAGGATGAAATCCTCCGACGGAACAAGATTCCAGCGCCCAGGAAGATTTCCAGCGCGAGTTGAGACCGCGAAAGGGGTGGTTTCTTGCCCGGGCGAGTCAAGATGCGGGCCTCTGATCGTTTTGGATGCACGGCGGGCTTTGATTCCGGGTGCTTGCCACAGTACTCAACCCGAACCCCTAAACCCCTAAACCCCTAAACCCCTAAACCGCAAACCCCCAAACCCCCGCCCAAACCCCTAAACCCCTAAACCCCAAACCCTAAGCCCTAAACCCCAAACCCCAAAACCCCTAAAGCGACGTGAGGCCCCTTCTCCTCGTCGGTGGGCCAGGAGCTGGGAAGCACAGCCTGGTGCGATGGCTGGCCGTGCCTAGGCTCAATCTGGTCTCTTTGATTCTATCTTCAATTTTTGCTTAGTATACCCCGAACAAAAGTAAGGTCATAATCCCTATATTACCCTTAGAAGGAAGTTTGTGTTTTTATATTTGTTTTTATTTATTTTGTTAGTTTTGTTTATTGAAGGGTTTCTTAAGCAAATCGTAGATTTTGTTTTCTTTTTGTGTCATTTTCCCGGTCCCAGTCAGTCGGAGGCTATGGCACGCATGCCGCTGCAGGAGGCCCCCCCCAGCTTCTTGCCGCTCGCTGTTGCCGCTGCCTCTCCGGATCAGGTCCCGCTGACGCCGGCGATGGATGCCAGCGAACTCCTGGGCTGCTTCGAGCAGGTCTTAAAGGTTTAGGGGTTTAGGGTTTAGGGGTTTAGGGTTTAGGGTTTAGGGTTTAGGGTTTAGGGTTTAGGGTTTAGGGTTCTTGCCTTGACGAGTCGCAGGATGTACGCGTTCGCGTGTGCTGCAGGGGGGGGCACAGAAGCCTGAGCAGGTGGATGCGCGCGGTCTCCTCCACCAGCTTGCAAGATGGATCACCGCAGCAGCTTTTGGACTCAGACGAGCGCAGGCTGAGATGAGCAACCTCAAAGCCTTCAGGGGTTTAGGGTTTAGGGTTTAGGGTTTAGGGTTTAGGGTTTAGGGTTTAGGGTTTAGGAGCATGCAGAAGTTCGGGGCGGAGTTTTGGGGATGATCTTGGAGGTAAAAGGCTCGATGCGAGGGTGCGGCCACTACGATGGCGGCCTCAGCGGCGAATTTAGATCCGACTGCAACCTTCTAAGGAGGTTTAGGGTTTAGGGTTTAGGTTTTAGGGTTTAGGGTTTAGGGTTTGCGCAGAGTGTGAACATGTGCGTGTGCTTATTGTACAGGAAAGCCTGCCTGCGGCCACTGCCTTGAACCTCGATGAGTGCTTCAGGCACAAAGCTCGTCCAACATGCCCCAAAATCCTCAACCCCAGAGGTCCGTTCAGGTAGGACAAAAGTTCAACCCGCGGCCCAGAGTCATGAGTACACAAGACCCTCACAATTATGGCACGAGCAGCCCCCCTCCCCCGCCCTCCATCTTCGGTAGACTCCACACACCTGGAGCCCACCTGTACAAAAGCTAGTATTCTAATTTTGTTCCGGATCATTATTTCTCCGCGACGCAAGCTAAGTTGCACATGTCGAAACTCCGCGACTCCGCACCATGCTCAGGTTTCCTGTCCTCCTCTGGTAGGTCAAAACTTTCGTACTCTCCATGTATAGGGCTCTTCCCACAAAATCGTACAAAAACCCGGAGCCTCCAGGCAGAGCGCCCTTCTCGAGAAGTGCCTGGACCAGAAGGCCCGCAGAGCAAGACTTGAGGGTTTCCAAACCTAGGGGGTACCCTAGTGGGGTCCTGATTATCAGGGGATACTAACCCTAAACCCTAAACCCTAAACCCCAAACCCTAAACCCTAAACCCTATATTTGGGGATCTATATCTGGGGGTCCCCTAATTCAAACCCCCGCTTTCGAGAGCACCTGCCTTGCGCTGCTGTGCCTCGCTCTGCTTCCGTGCAAATGTGCTGGAAGCTGGAGGCTCCCCTTCCCGAAGCGATGGACAAGGCCTGAGGGTATGTATATGTATATATGTATATATATATATGTATAAATATGTTTCTATATATATATATAAATGTGTATGTATGTATGTATGTATGTATGTGTATGTGTATGTGTATGTGTATGTGTATGTGTATGTGTATGTGTATGTGTATGTGTATGTGTATGTGTATGTGTATGTGTATGTGTAGTGTATGTGTATGTGTATGTGTATGTGTATGTGGTATGTGTATGTGTATGTGTATGTGTATGTATGTATGTGTATGTATGTATGTATGTATTTATGTATTTATGTATACACTTTTTTTGTTCTTTTTAGGGGTGGGACCCCTTAAACATACTACCCCCCCCCCCCCCCCAAAAAAAAAAAATCGATAACCCTTGTTACAAAAAGCGTACCTCTAAACCCCTTTTTTTTTTGTGTTTTTTGGAACGTCGGACTTCGGGTCTGAGGCGGAGGTGCTCGTGAAGCAGCCGGAGCCCCGGACCAGCTCCAACTGCTCTTCATGTGGGGCTTGGGGTTTAGGGGTTTAGGGTGTGGGACTCTGAGAAGCATTTTCCGAGCCTCCAACAGCGCATCTTCTTCCGAGCCTCCAAAGAACATCCACGCCTTTCTGAAACTTCCCATGTCCTACGCTCGAAACGAGAGCGTTGCGCACCAAGTGTTGCGCCCTGCCGTGCTGAGATTGCAGATAGCCAGCAGCCAGATGGACTCTCCAGGCGCCAAGGCCCTTGGGCTCAGAGCCTTGTGCGAATTTTCGTTGCCTCCTTGAGGAGTGCTTGGTAGCAGCCTTGGGCTTGGCAGGAGCCGTCCGATTTCGGTGCAAAGCTGCTGGCGGCAGCGAGGCTTTTGGTGGGAAGTGTGGTGAATATGTAGCGAATTGCTCGGCGACGAAGTTGTGGCAGCCTAATTGGTATCGAAAGCTTCCTCCTGGGCAGGGCACGGATGAACTCGGCGGGGAGATTCGAGTGGGTCCCGCCCTGAGAGAGTGAGAGAGCGCGCCGCTGCCTTTTTCGAAGCATCCGGCCGCAGGTGGATGGGCCTCTTGTCACGGCCATGGTCGAGGGCAGCTGGGTTCTGCTTTCCCACGCGGAGCAGGCCCGCCGGATCACTGCATTCAGTCACAGGGTTGCTCGAAGTTGGGGATTACTGTATGATGATGTAGCATATTATTAATATGAATATCTTGTAGCATTACAGTATGAAAGTACTATACTTTCCTGGCTCCTGAGGGTTCTGTGGAGATGTGCCTGCCTTCAGGCAGCCCCTGCAGTCCTGGATCGCTTGAACTCGCTCCTGGAACCCAATGGCTTCCTTCTGCCCGATGCTGAGCAGCTTTTTAGCAGAGCGGTTTTTTGAGCCCCCTTGCAAATGCGGCAGATGTCTTGTTGCTCTGTCCGAGCCTATCTTGACTAAAAGGCTGACAGAATCGGGAGAGGAGAGGCTGGTTTGGTGTCGATCCTAATCTTGCTCTGCAAATCTGTAGCTTTCAAGGCTGCAGATGGGGTGCCCTGAGGCCCCATCCCGACTTCCGAGTCTTCTTCACTCTGACCACGGGATGTGCTGTTGCGCCGGTGGCCTTGCTCAGCTTTCGTTCTATGGTCAGCACCCATTGAAGTCGAGAGCTCTTGCATCTCTCACGAGGTCTCTCGGGCGCTTCGCAACCGGTGTCTGGAAGTCTTTGTCTCACCAGGCATGGGAATTCGGCCAAGCCTAGCATAGCAGTAGCTACTGTAGTTTCGTCGCAGTCAAGAGCTGTTGATGTCGCTGTTGCAAGATGTATCTTCGGTGGCCAGCACAGATTGCACCATACTGCGTCAGCAGCATCGCAGGCCAAGCGGACGAGAGGGTACCACGATTTAACCCAGAGGCCTGCAATTTGTCAGATGGTACAGTGGCCATGGATCTGTCAACAACTGCGGTATGTTGCTAAGACTGGCAACTCAGGTTGCAGACTGCTCTGTGCACGGAATGCATGCGGCTGGCAGCTCAGACACGAGCACGTTGCGCCTTGACAGGACAAAGAACAAACGCTGCAGAAATGTTCGCTGTTTTTTGGCTCCATGTACTCTTCAGGGGTCTCAGAAGTAGATCCGGCTGCACTGTGATTGTCCGCCTTGTCCGAACTTGTCATGCTGCGCCTGCTTTCCGCTAGCCTGGTGACTTGCTTGCTGCGCGCAGTCGCGGAGGACCAACGCCAATCAGGGAATCTGCGGGGAAGCCAGGATGGTGCAGGCGAGGTGGACCACCGTGACTACGAACAGTGCGGTATTCTCGGAGGCCCGCTGAGGCTGGGTGGGTGCTCAGTTGCAAAGGGTCAAGAGTTTTGGAGTTCAGCGTGCTGAAGGCTTTTTGTTGTCCTGCCTGCAGGCATGGTCGCCGAGCGAGGATTGTGCATGGAAAGGACGCAGACCAGTGTGCCTGGCGATGGCAAGTGAGCCTGCGAAGCGCCCGGCCGGATGGGGGCCCAGCAGCTGCTTTTTGCGGGGGGACTCTGATTGCACCCGGCTGGGTTCTAACAGCTGCGCATTGCGTTGAGAGAATGAATCTGGCTTGAACATTTCAGTGCGTTCCATTTACAGAGGGACCATTCACGACATGTCTTCGGGAGGGTTTCGAGTTTAAAGCCTTCAGTTCAAGACCCAGGAACGTGTGCAAGATGCGCAAGCTCAGAGTTGTTGCAGGCCGGACCTTTTTTTCAGCTCTTTGTTTCCTTATGTTTCCTTATTAGCAGGCTCCCTGAAGCCAAACTAAGCCAAGCCACTGCTCTTCCTAAGCCCCTTGCCCAAAGGGATGTTAGGGTTTCCCAGGGGACTGGAAGCAGTACTCGGATGATGAAGCAGTTCGTGGTCAGTCGGTCGAGCGCCGCATTAAGCGAGTCTTCTCTCATCCGCAATATGATGATGCCTTTGACTCCGACTTTGACATGGCGGTGTTGGTGCCTGGCCAGCAAAACTCGAGGTCACGCAGCACTTGACTACCCCAGTGGCTACACAATAGTGCCCACCGGTAGCACTTAAACCCTTGCCCAGGAGCTGGACAAGCCCTTTCCGATCAATGAGTGCATCGGTGTCGCCTGTTTGCCCACCATGGACGACGACAAAGATTTGACCGGAGCAGAATGCAGCATCACCGGCTGGGGTACACTGATGTCGTCAGGCTCGGGCGGGCATACAAAAAATCTGGCGGTCTGTTGTGTTTGTTGTTCTGAAGCCGAGGGCTTGTGACTGCCCTACAGGACCCATGCCTGAAGTACTGCAGGAGGCATCGGCGCCGCGCCCGAAGGGTAGAAGCATTCCTTTCCAACATGTTTCAATGTTGTGGATCTTGCAGAGATGCCGTCGGGTCGGGTCAGGCCTCCTCTTAGGTCATTTAGGTCCTCTTACTTGTACCGGACAAGTTGCTCCATTCTCCGAGAGCCTCTACCAGCAAAAAGGCCCATCTAGTCGCTACGTCCTTCGCCTTCTGCCGCCTGCGCCCGCTCGGGCTCCTGCCTGCTCTGTTGCCAGTCTGTTGCCCCTACCCTGCCCGACGGCTTGTCTCACTCCTACAGTATCGACCACCCATCGGTTTTCTCCCCACCCCGCCCATCCCCCTCCCGTTCACCCGAGCTGCCTCGTCCGGATTACACCCAACCCGATCGCCCCGGTCCGGGAAAAACAGAACGTGGAGTCGTAGAGGATATGTCCGCGCCGCCTTCTTACATCACGCCGCAAAGTCAACGACCGCTGGAAATTGTAAGGATGAAAGCCAGGACGTAGAGGACACGTCCGCCAGGGGCCATTTTTTGGAAGGGATGCGGGGAAAAGGACATGGAAAACCAGGGGGAGGGAGGGATGGAAGCCTGGCAGGACGGGGAGCGTGTCTTTGGCAAGGTGTCTCAGTTTGTGGCTCTGCGATTGCTGCCTTTGTTACAGCTACCAGAATCCGGCAGGGTTGATCGGCATGGATTCAGTAGGCACAGGATGTACACGGCTCATGCGTGATGTAGTGTTCGTGAGGGCAGGGGTATATGGACTCAACGATGTTATTGCAGCGCAAGGGCGGCCTGTCAGTGTGCCTTCGGGTCTGTTTTTCTTCGTGCTGCCGGCTTGGCATTGTTTTGGTGAAACTATAATCCGCTTCTCCACCTGATGGACATACACGTCGCTGCCACGTATGTCCGGAAGCTTCTGGGACATGCCGGTCATGATCGTGTATGGGGAGCCCGGCTGCGTGTACTCAGCCGTTGTGCAGTTAGCTTACGCGCCCGGGTATGCGCAGTTTCCCCCGGTGAGCCTGGGATGTCGTGATGTCCATCACGTGCTTCTTGTCCCTCCATCCCAAGCCCTGCGCACCTGTCAAAGCTGCAAGCGCAAGTCCGTTGTTTAGCTACACGTAGATCATGTTGTTGCAGCTCAGGTTACGTTGCTGAGCATGAAAGAGTGTGAGGAGGACTATGCAAAACACAACGAGACCATTACTGCTTCGATGCTTTGTGCCGCTGGAAACTCTGAGAAGGGCATCACGGACACATGCCAGGGTGACAGTGGCGGGCCTTTGGTTTGTGAAGAGTCTGGCCACTACATCGTGCGGGGTGTCACCTCTTGGGGTGATGGCTGTGCTCTGGAGGGCTATCCGGGCGTCTATGCACGGGTCTCCTCAGCCCTGGGATGGATCCGTGATATCATGGATGGCAAAGTGGAAACATCTGACACCTCCGATGAAACGGCGCCCGACATTGCGTTTGGGCACGCCATGTGGACGGTGTTGAGTGGCTCATGTACGGTGGATGACTCAGACTGTCTTGTTAGCCCTGGATACCCCGGAAACTATAGCAACAAGGACGCAGCTCGGCTCCGTGCAGTGTATCCGCGCACCCTCGCAACCCTAGAAGAAGGGATCAAACCTTACCTGTGGCACTAGCTGCAAGTGTTGCTGTTGCAAACTGCGCTTGGTCCAGCTCAGGACTGCAGAATCGCGGTGAACACCTCAGCAGCGACACCCTTGCAGGTGGAGTCCTTCTCCACGGAGGCCGGCTATGACAGCCTGCTTGTGAACTGCAAAGCCTACTCGGGCTCTGTTGGTCCTGAAGCAGTGGTGCCGGACACCACCATCTACTGGTACTCAGATGGTTCAGTTGTCAGCAGCGGCTGGAGAATCTGCCCCAGCGACAATGAAAAGCGTCCATAGGCCGTTTGTGGTCGCTTGCATCTGTCAGCTGCGCCGCGTCAAAATCGAGGCGCCAAGTTGACAGGAAGCCTCCGCAAACGAAATCAAATGAACGAGAATTCAATTCACGAATGATCATGGGACCAATAGGACCACAGTTCGAACGCATCTGCGCTGGCGAAGCCTTAAGCAGCAAATGCGTCAAGGAAGAGCTTTCGCAGCACTGGTCCTGCGAAGAAGAGGGCAGAAGCACTTCTTATCAAGCTCCGGTGACCAGACTTATCCTTGGTTCAAGTGATTTCAAATTCAGGCTTTTGGCATCGAGCAGCGATGGGGATGTGCTAGTCACATGACCAAACAGACTACACAACGCGACTTTCCCAAACTGAGGCTGAGATGTACGAGTAGGACTGGGAGGCTTCCTTAAGCCCGCTTGGCTGTTGGCTCTTGGGATCTAGGATCGCTTTCGGGCTGTATCGCTTTCGATTGCCCCGCACAGAAGGCCGTCACACAGACGTCCTTGGATAGGCCGCGCGCTGTGAAGATGAAGCGCTGGCTTCTTGTACAGGCATTGAACTGGGCTGCGTCCCAAAAGGACCAGAATAGTGACACTTGTCAAGTATGCACGGGGGCTGTACGTGCACTTCTCGGGAGCTATTGAACCGCAGGCTCACGAAAACCATCCTAAAACTTCGCTCGGCTAGACTGCGTATCATATGAATCTTATTTGCTCCCTTTGGCCCTTTGGACAGTCGAGAAGTTCAGCAGAGAGCCACCTTGCAGTTTGACAGTGCAAGAGATTGGGGTGCCACTGGCACCACTGACACCTTGAAGCTCCTTCAAAAGGCCGAGCGAGATTGTCACAGGAAGTTCACGGAACATGCTTAAAACCCACAGGGCGCCTCCTCCAAAAGCCGCCAAGTACTGAGGTCCACTCATGCTTTGGCTTCTTCAGCGAGGTGTGGTCGACCCTGACAACCCAGCCCGGCCACTCAGCTCTCTGTGTGAGGGTCAAGTTTAGGGTTTAGGGTTTAGGACGTGAGGCTGGCAGACTCATCGCTGGCGGAGCTACTTTGGGTGACGCCCTTGGCCTGATGCACGCTGTCTTTAAGGCATTGCATGAGGGCGCTCTCCCTGCCTCTGTTCTGTTGACATCTCCACATTTGAGGCTGCTGTAGCCTAGAAGCCCTTGCTTCCTTGATGAACGCCCTATAACCCTAAATCCTAAACCCTAAACCCTAAACCCTAAAACCCTAGCCTTTCGAGTGTTCTTGATTGTCTGAGCAGGTAAGGGAGACGCTGTCCAAGCAGGCCCGGTAGCTCAGTAGCCCGGCATCCTTGGAAGATGCCTCATGTTCTGCAATACCCCACAGTACCCTACAGTATGCCCTACAATACCCTACAGTACCCTACAATACCCTACCCTACAATACCCTACAATATGCCTACAACACAAGTTTAAAGGCCGCCTTGTTCTGTCCATCGCCGGCGGCGCTCGTCGACGCTGCGCGGCTGGTGCTGGCGGAGGTTCACGTGCCGGAGCATTTCCCGTCTTGACAGCGAGGAAGAGTGCGGATGAGTGCAGATCCCATTGAGGCCACGCTGCCGTCGCTGGTGTCGCTCCACCTGGCCACCTTGCACTGCATGGCTCATACGTTGCAGTCTCGGGGGACATGCGGGCTTTGAACTGGTGGGGCGCTTTACAGATTCTACTGACTCGGACACAAAAAGAGCGACACGAAGGCTTTGGCTCGGGCTGCGGACGGCAGCCATGCGGCGAGGTCCGGGCTTTGGCAGAGTGATACATCTATCTACAAGGTATGTGTCAACAAGCACGCGTCTCTCTCTGCCTGAGCACCCTTTGCAGAGGTACCTCTGAAGGGCAGGAGGCACGGTGACTCTGGCTGTGTAAGCTTATTAGCCCGTGCTTGAGAATCAGAGTTCGTTTGATCGGACGGGTTCTGGAATTGATTGGTCGCGAGTTTCATCCACGGCCACATTTTGGGATAGACTGACGGAGCTTGACTTAGGACCGTTCTTTAAGCTGTCTCAGATGCTTTGGCATGTGAACCCCAGGGGGCGTCGTTGGAAGGAGATCCTTTCTAGATTTGCAGCGTCCTGTCATGAGCTTGCTGTGAGACATGCAGCAGGCCCCTGCCAGCCAGCAAGCTCGAGAAGCTTGGGCGAGGGCTCCAGCATTCATTTGCAGTACTTGCCATGAGAGCTCGTTTGCAAGTGGTGAGTTCCAGGCGAGGAAGTAAAGCCGTCTTGGGTCACTGTTCCAAGCGCTGCAGCCATCAAGCGGGCAAAGCACTTGTGTGATGCAAGTTTCGCACATGGCGCGGAGCGAGAAGGAGGCGGCAAGCGAATTTTTGTAGGCCGGCACATTGTCAATACAACTATGTTCAACAGCTTCTCGCCAGGGAGCGGAGCTTTGTTTTTTTTGGGGCATGGAGCCTTGACCAATGGCTTCCGCATGCCACCAGCCGAGCTGCAGCAGGTTCAACTGGAGCAGGCGAACCCAAGAGCTGTCATGTGTTCTATACTTCGAACAATGGGAACCCTACTATGTTTGTTGGGGCATATTCGTTTATTCGGTAGACCCCCGGCCCCCTCCCCCCCCGACCCCATGTTCGGGGACACACCCGATGCATGCAACCTGCATTGGCTGGCAATTCCGACAGGTCGATCTTCGCTCTCCAGTGGACTTGTTGCTCAGCCTGATTATCAGGCCTCGAGCGGGCAGAAACACTACTTTGTTATGATAGAATGACTTCACGTGATGTGATACATTCTTTACTATGTTCGGTTGTTGTTAGTCTTATAGGGCTTAGTCCTCTTATTTTTTTGCTGTAGTATTAAATATACTCGTGACTGAGAGGCCACCGCGATGCCGGTACACGCCGACGAAGCTTGGGCCATCGACCTTCCGAATTGCGGACAAGGCCGGGGGGGGGGGGGGGGGGGGGGGGGGGGGGGGGGGGGGGGGGGGGGGGGGGTGGGGGGGCAGGGGGTAGAATGGGGGGCACCTACACTGTTATGAGCATATGTCTATATTTCTAATGTATTACTATAGACTACATTATTGCATTTTTATATTACCATATTGCTTTATTGCTATATTGCTATATTTTTATATAATTATATCATTATATTATTATGTCATTATATTCCTGTATTACTACATTACTACATTACTATATTATTATTTTACTATGTTACTATATTATTATATTATTTTAATATTATATTACTGAATTACAATACTTTTCTGTATCATTGTACGTCTTCACTGGTCTTCCTTCACTTCAAGCTTTGACGCTACTGAGCCGCTACTGAGTACTGCCCTTATTGCCTGCTTACTACCCTCCCTCGGCAGGGGCATGGACGTCGTGAGGACTTGGTGCTTCAGAACCCACGTGGGCAGTCACTCCAGCATCCCGGATTCCAGGAAGTCGCAGTATGAATCGCCCCACTGTGGGTCGCCAATCCTGTCTTCCTTTCCCGTCGATACTCCTCTGCAAAGGGTTTTAGCTCAGGTGTTCACTCTTCGAGCCAATTCCGGAGCCTGGCCAGCCGGAGGATAGCAGCGATATAGTAGCAATAAAGTAGCAATGTAGTAGCAATATAGTAGTAATGAAGTAGTAATATAGTACTAATCTAGTTATAGTATAGTAGTAACATAGTAGTAGTGTTGATCGTCATGCGGTGATGGCCTTGTTGGCGGCCCTTTGCAGCTATGGTTTGCCTTTGCGGTCCCCTGCTTGGGGAAGGTTCCCTTGGGTCTTACTTATGCGTCTCTTCGTCAACTTGGCATTGTGCTGTTTCTAGCAAGCGTGGCCTTGCTCGTAGTTCAATCGAAATGCCTGTCTTCCAGACACGGTCCGTCGGAGTGATCATGTTTCTCTACCTGGCCAGCAACCCAGTGTCCCGCAACTTCTTTTCCTTCACGCCGGCCCCAAGTGCACTTTAATAAAGCGTGACAAATTGGCGGTCTGCTAACTTTGCAGTGCTGAACTCTGCCTGCAGTGCAACACATGTGGCTGTTGTGAGGAGAACTGGTCATCAATGGATCGGCCTTGTGCAGCCCGCCTGTGCTATTGATGATGTTGGCATGTGATCGGCGGTCATCGACACTTAGGGCTTGCCAAGTGAATCAAAGGTCATCTTCTTGCATGGGAACTCATCATGCAGACTGGAAGCTCTGCCTTTGCTGCCGCCGCACGCTTGCACATGAAGCCAGTTGCAAGTACAAGTGCTTGCTGCTGACCTATGTCGCAGAATTTGAAGTCTCTGCAATCTAAGGCTGTTGCTTCCGCTTCGGATCAGCCTTTTCTGCTTCGACTTTGCAGGCTGCGGAATCTCCGAAGGTGACTATGTGTCCCTGGGGTGGTGCTTTAGTCGCAGTAGCTCCTTCTGTTGATTGTTGCTGTGGCGAAACGTGTCAAAACATGTTTAGTCAGACTGTTGAGACGCATAAACATCCTGCGGTATATCAGGGGTTTCTCAATGATTTCTCTCATCCCACAAGGAAGTAGGACTAACGATTTCTTCTCACAAACACGGTAAGCACTTCTGATGGCAGCTCTACCCTACAGAGCCTTGCAAGTGCAGCCGTGCTGCTACGTGCTCTCGGAGCTGGATTTCTGCGTGTTTCTATTAAGCATAAGTAGCATGATGAATGGTATATTAAGAGTACATCCGTTCAGGAATGGCTTAGGAACGTGCGACATGTCGACGCCACACAGATAATCCATGGACCCCCCTATAGATTCCTTAAGCCCGCCCATGCCTACCTGAGGTTTGAGCGGGAGGACTTGGCCACCTGCATCGCCCACCTCCGTGCAACGGGAAAAGCCTCGCAAGTGGCCTTATGGGGTCGCTCAATGGGGGCCGTCACGGCACCTTCGATCGAAGAGCAGCCTTCCAAGCTAGTTGTATTTGTTTCGTGCAAACCTGTCCTAACCAGCTGGCATTGTGTTTTATACGATGCCGAAACGGCCGCTGTGTTCAGGGGACTTCAGAATCTTTGGGTGGTGTGGGCCAAACGTGCCCAATCTTGCTCTGCGCATCCTGGGTCTCCCCAGGCTCTGCTGCATGCTGATCGTGATCCATCCATTGCTGCGCTGGTGCTGGACAGCCCGCTCGCGGCTCAGGAGCTGTCTCGTAAGCACGCACATACACGTGCTGGCAGATCGGGTTCAAGGATGGTGACATGTTGGTTGGGACAAGGTTCGCATCTCTCCGAGACCTTGCGACGGATCTTGCCGGCAGGAAGGCGCGGGGAGTGCAGGGAGTACCCGGAACCTCGTAGAGCCCACTCTCCCCCAACATCTACGCCAATCTGTGCCGTGCGGACTGCATTGTTCGCTCCATGCCAGCCAGGCGATGTTTCCCTCGTGGGCCACCCGTGCATGCCTCATTCAAGGGTGTGCTGCTGCTGTGCCTTTCTGCGCGGAGGGGCGGGTTTTCGCACGAAGCGCAGGGACGAGTGCATGGACGAAGGTGCCATCATTCCGGGAGCTCGAGCAGCCATACGAGCCAGGGCGGGGTTCGACATTGAGGACTGCTGCATCTCTGGTGTGCTAGCAGAGTGTCCTTGGCGGGTCGTAACGCGCTTCTCAGCTGCCCAACTTCTCCTCTGAGACGGGTTTCTCGGAGGATCTCGAAGGCAAGAGTCATGCGAGAAAGTGCTTTATGCCAGCCTTGCGTCTCTGCTGCAGGACCCAAGCCCCAAACCTAGAACCCCTTCAGACCTAGGCCTCAACCATCAATCCTTTGTAGGCCTTTAAAGCACTCGATCCTTTGTAGGCCTAAGGCGCTCGATATCACGACGGCATTCGTTTTGTTAAATCTACGGCCCCAAGCCATCTTGAGTCGAAATCTAAACCTTAAGCCATAAAGTCTCAACCGCCCTGAAACTAGCCCAAAGCCATGAAATCTTAAACCCTGCAAGCTTTAAGCCCAGCAAGCCCCATAGAACCTTAACCCTTTGAAGCTTTTTTTTAAAGCCCTTCAAAGCCCTTTAAAGCCCTTTAAAGCCTTTCAAAAACCCTTGCAAGCCCTTCACGCCTTTTGAAGCCCCCTAAACCCTAGACCCCTAAACCCCTAAACCCCTAAACCCCTAAACCCTAAACCCTAAGCCCTAAACCCTAAACCCTAAACCCTAAACCCTAAACCCTGAACCCTAAACCCTAAACCCTAAACCCTAAACCCTTAACCCTAAACCCTAAACCCTACAGTAGCACTCTTCAGGTTCATTGCAGCACGCGGTGACGACTTCATCACCCCGTGGCATGCTGCCCCCCGGCCTCTCCTTGAACCTGCAAGTTTGGGTTTAGGGTTTAGGGTTTGGGGTTTAGGGTTTAGGGTTTCGGGTTTGGGGTTTAGGGTTTCGGGTTTCGGGTTTAGGGTTAAGATGGCTACTGGGTGGCTTAGGGAGGTGTTTCGGTTTTAGAGGGGAGGCTTAGAAAGGAGGCTTCGAGGGGAGGGATGTCAATTATTTGATTATATGGGACCCATTTTTATGAAGCTCTTGGCGAGCTGGTTTGTTGGTCAAGGAGGAGCTCTGCCAAGCCTACCACGGAGAGAAGGAGTTTTACCTGACCGAGGGGGACCATCACTCTTCAAGATCTGTCGTGTGCAGGCACCATGCATCACTGGGATTTCCTGTTTGGGCAGTCTGGTCGTTCTGGCCTAGGAGCCCTTTTGAAACCTCAGTTGGTGTTACTCGTGCCGTTTCGGCAGGCAGAAGGCCACCCTCTTTCTGTGCAGGGCATTTCATGCCCCGCGGCTGGTGACTCGGCGCCAGATTGTAAGAGTTCAGGATGGGGATCCACGAAAGTTCTCGCGACCCCCAGCAGTTGCGCTAAACCCTCAACCCGAAACCCTCAACCCTAAACCCTAAACCCCAAACCGACACTTTTCTAGGATGCCCTGCTGGAGCTTCACACGGCGGGGCTCAGCGACCTCTTTGGACCTGGGCTGCCGAAGCCTGCACAAGGCATCGCAAAAAGGAGAGCTGACAGGGTAGGTCCAAGTTTAGGGTTTAGGGTTTTAGGGTTTAGGGTTTAGGGTTCAGGGTTTGGGGTGTAGGTCCAAGAGTCCTTTTCTGATCCTCATGAAGCGTTGAGCCACTGGATCATCTGCTTGAGCTCATCTGCCGTGTATGAGGCAAGGATTTAGAACGAGAAGGTGCTGAGATCTGCTGGCAGGCGATTTTCGTCACTTTGTTCCGTGTCTGTTGCTTGATGGAATTTGGCATCTGATTCTTTTTCCTCGGCAGATGCGGCTGGTGCCGGCTCTTGGTCAGATGGCGCTCTGCAACGGAAAGCGATGCCAGAGGCCCGTCACTGCAAGCGCAGTGGTGGAGCTCGGCGACAGCAAGGCGGAGGCCGGCCAAGAGCAAAGCAACAACCGATGAGGAGCTGATGAGGGGCTGATGAGGGCTGATGATGGCTGATGATGGCTGATGATGATCTTTGTTCTTTCACGTTCCGGCGGAGTGAGCCCGGAGAGTGTAAATACGCTTTGCTGGCTCGTTTGTCTTCCCGTGCGGAAATGGTGTGCAGTGCCTGGCAGGTCGGATTCTTCATTCGCCTGGTGCCGGCAGAGGGGGTGTTCGCCAAGCTTGATGAGCTGGGCCAGCCTCGCTTTCTGGTTGTGAGCTTCACCTCCGACATGTCCATGGTAGCTTGGATGCCCTACCGAGTTGGAGAAAGCAGCCAGTCAGCGAACTGGAGGTTTCATATAGAATGTTTCGGGCTTTCCCAGAGCGCTTCCCAGGTTTCCAGGGTGCACAGCGACACTCTTCGGACCCTGGCAGTGGGGCCGGGTCTCCATGATGATCGGCAAGTGGGCATTGGCCTCACCTTCGACCTGGCGGGCAATTTAAGCCTGCATGTGGAGCCTGAAGTGTGCACTAGAAACGGGCGGATGGCTGGTTGCTTTCAAGGGCGCTTAAGGCTGCTTAGATTGACTCTGCCTGTGGCAGACTTGGGCTTGCATACTTGCATCCTCAGGACTCGCAGCAGCTGCTGGCTGTCGATGTCGGAAAGGGCTTCCGGGCAGAGTTGACGCTGTGGCTGATGCGGCTGCGGGGGAAGAACACTTTCGGAGGCCTTGTGGTCGAAGATGCAGAGGCTACTCTGTGCGAACACCTGGGCGACGCCGTCTTACGCTCCCGGCATCTGGGCCATGCAGAAGGAGTTCTGCTGCTGAACCGGAGATCGCTGTGCAGACCTTTGGGAGATCTGGGCCTCACCCGGGACACGAGGGACCCCTGCTCTCCGTGCTCCCCGTCGGATCTCGAGACAAAGGAGTGGCCCCGATCCCATTCAGAGCAAATTTCGCGATCGCATCCACAAAGTTCCCACAAAGCCCACAAACCCGCAAAGTTCCCACAACGCTCCCTTCGGCCCAAGTGGCGCTGCTTATACCGAAGCTCATTAAGGCGCACGGACGCGGCTCGCCGCTGCGCCCAGTCTCCGGAGGCTCGGCCCCCCTTGCGTGGAGCTCCCGTGCAAGAGCTGGTGCGACGTGATGTGAGAGTCTTCGGAGCAGTTGCGCAGAGTCCTCTGCAGAGGTCCTGATCGGCTGGCGGGTAAAGGTCTCGGGCCTCGGAGAGGGCGTCGTCACCGGACTGCGGAGGAGGCATCTGAGGCCCACGCTCTTCAAGATCTCAGGCGCGTGCGCCGGGCCTTCATTTTTGGGCTGAGTACACTGGACTGGGCGGTTGTGCGGCATCCGGGCTTCCAACGCATCCTGTAGTTGGCTTTATAGGCACAACGAGCTCTCTGACTCATTGCTTTAGAAACACAGCAAGACCCTCAGGTTTTTTGGCTTGGGTGTAGGGCTTCTGTGAGAGAAGGCCCGGTTTCCGCAGCCGCATTCTTGGCAGGCCTTGGCCAGCTTGATGGCCCTTCGCCTGTGGCAAAGCTACGAGAGGTGCCACTGCGAAGGCAGGCGCGAACGCCTCAGCCGGCACTGCTTCTGGCATCGTCTCCGCAGCACGCTCCTCCGTGAGACTAAGCGTCTGAGGCCCTTTCTTCCCTGCGGCGGAGGGTATCACTTTGAACTCATGCGAAAGGAGGTCTTTTTTGAACAGGCGATTTGCGTTTGAAACGTGCCGTATAGTCACCCATGCAAATGAACACAGGCAGGATGCGAGAAGTCTTGCCTTTTGTGGCGCAGTGCTGCCCACATGTACAGCCAAGCATCATTGCTCCATTTTTTGGGCCGGATGCCCAAAGCAGCGCGAATTTCAAAGCGAAGTTTGTGCAATCCACGACGCACCTAGACGTTTGCTTCCTGCGTCTCGATAATGCTGGCAAGCGTGGTCTCAACACGGGACGCGCATAGTCCTAGTTGTACGTTGCACATCGACAGGAACCTCCCATGTGATGGCGATGAATATGGGTCCGACAAGCTCCATGCAGCTCGTGATGGATGCGAAGTTGTGCAGCGAGTGCATGGCTTTGCCACGAACCCGAAGCATCCTAAACCCTAAATTTCCCGAAGGCCTAAACCCTACACCCACCTCACCTCTCAACCCTAGAATCCTAAACCGCCAAAGGCCAGGCGCCTTGCCTGTCCAGGGTTTGGGCTTCGGGCCGGAGCCCCGGCTGGCTGCCGTGACCGGGGCGGTTTCATATTGGATTGGGCCCCCTGAGCCCCCCCCCTTAATGGGGTCCGGTTGGAAGAGGGGTTCTGTGTTGAAAGGTACCTACAAGGAGGCCTTCAAATCGAACAGTCCACTCTCCCCGTGAGTTGGTGTAGTGCACTGTGGCCGAAGCCGAGGCTTTGCGAAAGCTCCTCGTGCTGTTCTCCACTGCGGTGGTGCGGAGTCCGCCAGGCCGAGTGATCTGTCACCGCGTGACAACAAGGAACAGAGGAACAGAGCGCTTCCCCTTGCGCCCTACACTTGAATCGGCCCCTGCCAAGATACCGCGCCTGGCGCAATGCTGCAGGCCAGCTTCCAACAGGCACACGGGTATGCCCTTACACATGCGACCGGTACTCGCGAAGTTGCGAAGACAGGTCAACCGAAGAAGCCAAAACTTCTCCCTGGCTTGGTCATAGCGGATTGCGGCAACACATCGGCGCTAGCAACACTGCGTTGGTCTTTCGTCATATGCTGAATCTTCTGACAGCGTGTGTGTGTGTGTGTGTGTGTGTGTGGCAGCCATATCCAAGTCGGTGAGAGTTTCTGTCCACGTCGACCGCCAAGCACGATTGCTCAGCCCACGTCAGCATTGCTCAAGGTTTCGAGGATAGCACGCCGCGGATGGGTGCTAGAGAGTTTCAACAGACGTGAGGCCGCTTTTGTGGAAGTGAGCTGTGACCCCAGTTGCAGGTTTACAGCGCTGAAGCCTACGCCAGCAAAGTGGAGGCAACTGGACGAAAAACCTCGTGCACGAAATCATAGATTAGAGATCGTCTCCTTGTAGCCCTAAACCCTAAACCCTAAACCCTAGACCCTAGACCCTAAACCCTAAACCCTAAACCCTAAACCATAAACCCTAAATAGCCTCTTGGCCCTAAACCCCACACGCCAACAAAGAGCCCTCCCCCGTGCTCTCTGTTCTCTCAGTCGGCGCTTCTCCGCTTCGTGGCATCCAGCTGCCGACAGCTGCCCCAGTCCCAGGGTTTAGGGTTTAGGGTTTACAATGGGTATGCGTATGTGATGATTCTACTAAACACTTGATCTAGCGAATGATATTTTCACGAGGGGTTTTAACCGGAGGGTTTCTTCACTACAGGAGTTAGCTAATGATTGTTGAATTGCAGGAGTTTGCAGCAGTTTACAGTCTGCCGAAAGGCCAAAATCGAAGGCCTTCCGCTGGCCTGTGCCTCAAGATGCAGCAGCGGGTATATTTTGGCTGGTTTCTTGTACGTTCCAGGGCCCCTCCGGACTGTTGAGCAAAAGAGCTGTTCAAGTCTTATGCTTCGAAGCCCAGCCCCGCAAAATCCAGACAAAGCCCTAATAGCTACCACCTGGACCCCCAAACCCTGGACCTGAGTGCTCAGGCTTGCAGCGGCCCTTCGCTCCTCACTGCTTCCAGCAGGAGGTAAGGCAGACGAGGCCGGTCTCGGTTTCTCCGGCAAAGGCACCGTTGCAAGGCTAGGACCCTCCTGCTGCGCCATCATCGAAGGTCCTGCTTTAAGTGCAGACAGGAAAAATATTGACATCGTCAGAGGTTGATTCGGAAACTGCAGCATCAGGGGTTCGGAGACCGGGAAAACGTGAAAGCACGGATTCGCTGGGGGTGCCCCACCACCACGCCCTAGGAAGTTGCCCGAGTGGAGCATTTGGTTTCCATGAATCGCAGCTAGTTTCTGGGTCGCGGCACGTTCCCCATATGGATGCCCTTTATACAAGATCATCAGAAAAGTTGATGCGGTTGCGAGTAGAACCCTGACCCCAAACCTCGAAATCCAAAACTGTATCAGTACTTCAAACCCTCCACCCAAAGGCTATAGCTGCCATTTATTTGTTTTCAAGATCCCTAAACCCTAAACCCTAAACCCTAAACCCTAAACCCTAAACCCTAAACCCTAAACCCTAAACCGGGAAAGAACCTGCTGTGGCAGGCCGAAAGACGGTGGAAGCCCGAGCTTGTCAGGCTTTTGCGGTTCTGGCAAGGGGTTTGGTTCAGGGCTTAGGGTTTACTTCGGGCTTAGGGTTTAGGATTTAGGGTTTAGGGTTTAGGGTTAGGGTTTAGAGTTTAGGGTTTAGGGTTTAGGGTTTAGGGTTTAGGGGAACTTCCCCCAGTTCTAGGGGACATCTCACCTTCATGTACACTGCATCGTAGTACGTCGTACTGCGTCGTAGTGACAATGACTGCTGTTGGTGTTTTTGTTACTTCCTGTGTCTGCTGCCATGTTCTGACCGTTCCAACTTCTTCCGTGTTTGAGGTGTTTCCGGTTGTTTCTGTTTTTTCATCCCGTATAGTGAGACGCGGACCTGCTCAGGCTAGGGCCCTTCATGGCAAGCTTGGCGGAAGATCTGAAGAATGTGTCTCAGGTGTGAGACCTCCACTCGAAAGTTTGCATGCCTTGCTCGAAGTCCAGTAGTCCTCACCGAAGGACACGCCGCGTTTTGCTGCCCTGTACTTGGACCGGGTCAGCCTGACATGTTGAAGATACCCATGGCGGCAGTACCCTTCCCGGAAGTTCCCGAAGTCCTTTCATGTCCTTCCTGCCAACTGTTCCCTCAGCCCGCAGGCGGCGAATCCAGTGGTGCAGCACCTGGAGCCTTTGGCCAAGCTTTGGGAAGGCTCCAAAGCTGATCCTGGCGCTTCACGTTCTTCCTGTTCTATTGCCTTTCTTTTCCAACTGAAAATCACATATGTAGCAGCAACAGAGAGCTTGCATGAAGTTGGAGCAGCGCTGTGGGGACATGGATGGTTAAGCGAGGCAAGCACTGGTCTGCCTCGTGGACAGTGTAGTCTCTTCAAACACCTGGTGACCCCTCCGCCCTCTGCCGTCGGCCGCCTCCTTTGGCGTTGTTTCGGTGTCGGTGGGCCGCTTTTCGGAGGTGTTGGGCTTGCGCCTTTGGTTGTTTTGCTGGTCTCGGGGTTTGCCGGGGTTTTGCGTTTGGTTTCGGGCTGGGATCTGGGGGGCTCGTGGCGGAGGAGGTCGTCTTTTGGTTCGCAGATGCGATGTGCGCATCTCGGCCGAGCGTGGGTTTTCCCCTCCGCATCTAAGCTCAGTTCCCCGCACGTAGATGGCAGGCCTCATGCACCTCGTGTGACTAGCAGCTAGCAGCTCGTACTAGCAGCGCCGGCATGCAGGCAGCGGCGGTAGCAAAGCCTGTGCCTTGGACGATGCTGTTTTCAGCAAGCTAATTTCATGCAGAGGCAAGGAAGGATGGCCTGGCCCCTTCTCAGGCAGATGCGCTGAAGCTGATTGCAAAGCACCCCCTGTTAACCGATGCCTGGCTGCACGGTGCATAGACCGTTCTCGGTGCCACTGAGTGATATTGAGTGCCTGTTCAGGATGTAGTGCCAAAAGCGGCAGACGTGTCGCGATCTCAGAGCCGTCAGCATCCATCCTCTCGTAGCTCTAGTTGAGTCGGAATGAGCAGGCGTGCCGTTTAGTCCGTTGATGTTGTGACAGCCTCTCTTTGGCCTTTCACAAGGCTTGCTTGCGAGATGGCAGTGCGACTCGGTGGACTGGAACTTTCCTAGCTGCCGTTGATCAACGGTCTTGTAAGCCAAGGAAGTCCGTTTCGATGCAGACGTGCTCGCTTCGGGATGCCACGTGCCAAGACGGATTTCCCGTTTCGGGGCCTTTGGGGTACCATGAAGTCGGGCCATCCGAAGTGCGGTCCCAGGCCTGGGGCTTGGCGAGCTGTGGCCGGGCGTCGACAAGCCAGACTGCTCGAGTTCGATTCTCAGAGTGGACACTTGACTTCCAGCAACAAGTTAAGCACATCAACCAGATATCTTCATTGGAGCTCTGTGCCCTGGACCACTGTCTGCACGACAACAAGAGGGGTCACTTGAGGTACTGTGCCGGTCATGCAGCCGAAACGCCACATAAGTGCGCGAAGCGGGACACTGCGTAGGCGCTGGCCCGACTTATCGCAGGTCGCCGCTCAGCATCTGATGGAGCTGCTGCGGTGCGCGAAGGCGATGAGCCGAGCCATCGAACGCCCCGCCACTTTTGCACATCTTTTTTTCTATTGTGGGGGTTCCGAAAACAGGGGTACACTTTTAGGGGTCCTTATGTTAGGGGAGTCCTACTATTCGGGGTCTATGTTTCGGGGTCCCCTATGTTCGTAAACCCCCATGTACCTTCCTTCGCATTGGGACTGATTCTGCTCGACTTGGTTACGTGGTGGACTTTACTGGGATCCGAGTTCGGAAGGCGCTGGTGGTCCACATGCTCAGAGCTTCGGCTCCTGGGATTGCGGCGGTGCTTCCGGAGACCACGGCACTGCACCGCAACATTCCGACGGCATTCGGCCCTCAGCCAGTTTCGGAATGCATGGGCATCGCGCAGGATGGCAGCAACGGCGAGAGCGCCTGGGCTCTAAGCGCGCGGTTTCAAGAAGGCCTGGCCTGGAACGAGTTTCTGGCAAAGCCTGAAAGTGCCCAAAATTTCAGCAGGCTTCAC